TTGGTCCCTACTATTGATAAAATATAGAGCCGTAGAATTTAAAATGTTTTGTTGCAAACATTAAACATATAAAGCAAGGTCCAGCTTTAGTTATAACTTTACCTTACAGTAACTGAGTACGTGATAATACCCGTGAGCTCGGTAGCACCCTTCAACCCCCGACCTCGTCAGTAAACCTTTATACCACGTCAAGACTTATTACAATTATGTAAATTTGACAGGCCGACACAGGCATGCTGCTAATCACATTTAGCATATGGCCGGTAAAATGCAAATCTCGTTTGTACTTGACACGATGCTCGCCAAATTTAGTAGAGAATCAAGTTTATCTTTAAAACGGTATATTATCCGAGTCTAGTCTTGAGATACTGTCACGGGGCTTCTTTCTCTGAATCTCTGTCGGACCTTTATTACTTTGACTGGGAGGTTAGTGGCTAGTGAGCTGAAGATTCTGGAAACCCCTAACGGCTCACGGCACCCTTGACGGCACCCCACGGCACCCTTGACCTTGCTCACTCACGTGCACTTGAGCTGCTCTTCATAACGGGGACTGAGTTAACATCACAGAGCTGGTTTGACTCGTTATAGGGCAGGAAAATAGAACGGGAGGGTCTATAGAGTGGGAAGAGTTTGGCTTTGTTTCTACTTTAGTGGTCACTGCTACCATTCCATTAGCTCATTAGTCATTAGTAAGAAAGGGTTTGCTAAGTATACGGCGAGATTTGTGACAGCTTTGTATCTAATTGAGAACCCTGGATGTTAAATAACTACTGGGTTTAGTGCGGTTTAACAAATACTGGTTTAAACTTTAAGAAGGGAAACTGTTTAGCTTTTGGGTTCAACTGGTCGAAGATCTGAGAGGGGGAGGGAGAGAGGAATTTGTATCCAGTAGAAGAAGTGATTATCATATAAAATTGCAATCAAGCTATAATTTGTAACCGTTTCAGTGATGTCATTAAATGTACATGTTATGATTTAATAAACTTTAATAAAATTCAATAAATTCTGGCGGGTTGTCCAAAAATACTAATGCAAAATTCCTCAAAAATAAATGCTGCAACCCAATCTTGTAGTACCAATTCAACTCTAACAATGATTATTACATATTTATCAGTGTTTTCTTACTTAATTCAATAATGTCAGGAGCTGTCCGCAACATCATAGCGGATGTTCAATGATAATGACATATTCTTATTCTTCAATACATTTTCGAAACAAACAATCCATGACACGCATACTTATATCACTATCAGTTATCACCCCCTATTTCTAACTCACAAAAAGTTCAAACTATTGAAAATACCTCTTCTTCAGTATTCCTGATTCAGCACCTAGCAGTAGCGGACGCTCTCTGCTGCATTATCCTGATTGTGCCCAACTTTATCAACCTTCTTCTCGGCAAGCTGATACTCCCCCGCATGCTCTGCAAGTTTACCGGTCAGCTTACCTAACTTACTTACTACTTATCTTACTCTTAGCGTGCGTGATGCACCTGCTTTTCCCATTCTTCAGAGGCAAATTGTCTAAATCTGTTCATTTCTGTTTATTCCAGACCTAAGTTTATTCGTAATGGTTCATGACAAACTGGTTCTAGAATTCTGGAATGAAATTATCTAATTTGTTCATTTTTGCTGACTTGTTAATTCCTCCTGGAGTTCTGACATTCAGCACCTGACACACCCTATAATTATCAGTTATCGCACCCTCTTAAATTTCGTTCACACTTCGGTCTTCGACTCGCCTTCATTTCATAATTGTCTGTTACTTATCTCGATTCAAATTTTAAAAACGTAACGCTATTTTCAAATTGTCAGGTCAAGTTTGAAAAAAATAAAGGACTGGAATATAACCATCATTAATTTGATCTATTAGTGTTTGTATTTATGCGGGGGATGTCTTGACAAAACAGTTAAAACGTAATTCAGTTTTACTTTTATCAGGACAACTTAATTTTTCAAAATCACGAACTGCTTAATTTGTCTGGCTAACATGATTTACAGTCAAATTTTAGATTATCGCGTGGCCATGCTCCAGTAATCTCAACACCCGAAATTTAGAATAATTACCCCACTAACATCATAATATGTTACTGCCAGTCATACCAGGAAATCATCATTTGAATCGAGATATTGCACGTGAAACATAACAATGGTTGGCTGAAAATTGGCACTAGAATCATGGATCCCCACAATCAATGGTTTTATCAACTGACTGGAGGTTAACAGCCAGAATGAGTGCTAAGTATATAGGGCTAGACTTGAGTCAAGAGGACGCGTTTTATCTACTGACTCGTCTGATAAGGCTTGATAAATCAGTCTAGATTGGGGTAGATAGGGCTAGATAGAGTTGAGTTAGTGAGTGACCTGTCAGTGTTGGTGCGACCGTAAGGGACTGGTTACCGTTAAGGTTATGGTCATAGTTGAAAATTTAGTTGGTCTAAACTTTAACAAAACAGACATACCTTTGTAGACTCAAATTATACGAACCAAATTTTCCGTCACGGCGCACCTCCCACGTTTTAATCATTTCTAGACGATATCTGATTTGTTGTGATTCAAGGTTATTTTAGATTTGCACAGTCGACCACAAAATATTAATAGCATTATCGGTCATTTTTTCCCCTTAATTTAACAAATTGAAACAAAAATAGAAACAACATATCGAACGAGCACTGAATAACAGGCTAATATTTCAGGCTACTTCACCCTGACGCCCTGCCAAGCTGCAGTGTACTTCGTCCTACTACTCTCCATAAACAGGCTCATCTACTGCTCCTACCCTTTGCGAGCCCGCCTGATCATGTCCCGGTGTCGTGTCACCTACCTCGCTCTCTGCATCTGGATCACTTGTCTCCTCGTCTCATCAGTCTCCATCTACACCACCAAACGAGACATCATCTTCGACACTGACCTGCACAGGTGTATCTACGACAGAGGAGCCAAGTCTGTGACCAGGATCGTACTGATAGTTGTGTTCAGTGTGGTACCTCTAGCTGTTATCCTGGGACTGAACGTTATAACCTGCTGTATCGCAGTGGCTCACAACAAGAATCGAGGTCAGAAGAGCATAAAGGCTCTCCTAACTGTGTCCTGTATCTCGGGTGTGCTGCTTCTTACTGTGGGACCCTTTGTGGTGTACTGTTTAATGACTGCCGTTAATGGTGATCAGCCACAGTGGTACCAGTTAAAACTCTTTTCGGGTTATATCTTTTATATTAATGTGTTTTCTAACCCGATAATTTATACGATGACGAACACAAGATTCTTTAACTTTGTTAAGTTTAGGTTGCTGCCCTGTTGTGCCCAGGGAATTTATAATGAGCATGCATCTAGACTTGCTGCGGGGTTAGGGAGGAAAAATAGCTCTTTTTATTTAAAGTCTAGAAATTTTAGCGTCAGTTATAAAGCATCTACCAAATCTGTTTAATAAGATCTTGGAATATTGTTATTATAAATTATTCGATGAACAAAAAATAACGACTTAATTTTGATCACAGATAATTTTCGTTGAAAGCTTTTAATTGAGGAATCATTCACCTATTAAGGAAGCCATATTTTGGCAAATTCAGCCCCCCCCCCCCCACTCTCCGTAAGCTACTTTTCTATAGCTATTGTGTCGAGTTTCCAAATCCCTTCCCCTCTAGGCTGGTTTCCATAATATGTGAATGTGCCCGAATTGCACTAATGATATTTTAATTTTTCATTTATTTATTTGTTATTAATTTATGGTGGTCATTGTCTTAGTGTTTTTGGTGCTGATATATATTTTAAATATAAATATAGTTTTCTGTAATATTCTTAAATCACGTATAAAATTAAAATGTAACAGATATTTTTTATTTCACATGTAGATAATTTAAATTTCAAATGATTTCCAACCAATTTACATGGTTTTACTGTTGGGAGGACCGAAGAAGCAATAAAACTACCAACAATTGTGACTAATACGTATGTTGTATGTGTTTAAAACCACTACTAAGTCCTCAAAAAGCTGTTTGTTTGGGATTGCAGGAATCGAGAGAGGGTTTCTGTGGTCGGTTGATATAAATTCCAGTTGGGACAAGATCTCAACGCTGGACAACAGCCATCACTTGCCAAATTATAGTGCGAATTGTAAGGACTCCTAGAGAATGACACGAATGAAATCTGTACCGAAAGGACCGGGGCCGTACTTCAAAGGAAAAGGAGTTTCGCTCCCCGAAAGCTTCTACTAGCATTCATATGGTTTTGATATCTATAAGGCTATGGGCAACTAGATTAATGATTATGGTTACTGTTTGGATAGAACATTAACAGCACATATCTGTATTTTTGCTCAGAGCTAGGGTGAATGATTTAGTGATAACTTTAACTACTACCACATGAATCAGACATTAGAATTTGATATCTGATTCTTTTCCAATTGAATCATCAATCGTCGTCTCGTTTTGACTTAGTGTCCTTGTCACTGAAATTAGTAGTGGAGCTTCAAGCGAGCAATCGTATGCAAAGTTGCGCCATCGCCTGCGTTTTATTTGAATGCCGACAGACATCAATCAGACATTAGAGTAAGCTGTCAAACATGACAGCTGCTCTTTTGCTCATTCTTGATTGTCGGAAAAGGACTGCGTTCTGTGTGATTGGGGGAGCCATTAGCAATTAGATCTCAATCTTTTGAAGTCTCTTACCGTTAGTTTTATATTAGTTGGAGGGCAAATCAATTCAGAGACTTAGCAATATGTTTGCTCCTCATACTAGCTAATTACTTCTTCAATAGCTGCACTGTTGCGCAATTGAGTGCAGCAAGAATATCAAGATGTAAGCTTGGGTGGGGAAATTCCATTGTAACTGTGAACTCATGAACTGTGAAGACTTTAAATTAATCATCATGGCGATGGCTTACAATCATTAGAAACCATTAATGAATTGTTTTTAATGAAATCTTTGATTGTTCATCGTCAACTTATTTTTATTGAAGAACAGTCATTCAATCAAAATGTTATTTTTAAGCAAAAAAAATGGCTGATTTTTGGAAAATTCTGCAAATTATTATTTCTGACCTAATCACTTGAGATATATCATAAATCTGAAATTGAAATCTCTGTTGTAAAATAAAGTGCAGATTCTAGTTCTAAGCATCTCATATTAACTGCAGATAATTGTTACTGTAATTACGAAATTGAAAATTAATAGACTAGCTGGTTTAACCACAAATATCACTGATCGAACGTATCATATTGATTGCAAATTGCAATGCGATGATGGAACTTGAGAAACTGAAACAGTTATTTTATTTCAAAAATTCAGTCTCTACCAGCACGGTCCACTCATTTATCAATGAGTTCCGTCGAAAGTATCAGCGCCCTTGTAGTTCCCAACATATCCGGAGTTGTCCGCCAAGTCCGCTCGTCCCTCCAGACCTTTTCCTTTTCCGTCCGCTCCGAATCTCTCCTTGTGTGAACCTGTGGGGATGTGATCAATTTGAATCTGTGCATTCAGCAAGTTTTAACATCTCCTCGCATAAGGACATATTCGTAGGTCACTTATAGTTATTCGCGCTGATAAACACTTTTCATTCCTGAAGCATCACTATCAGTATCAGTATTTAGTGAGCCCTCCCCTGCTACCAGCCAGACGCCAGTCAAGATTTACGAACACATTTTCCAACTTGGACATTTCAAACTTTACTTAAAAGCAGTAGCACGTTAAACTTTTGAAACTGAAAGGAGATAAATAATAACGAATTTCGTGATAGTAGGCGATTGTGAATTTATTAACTAAAGAAGAGGGATTAAACATTTTTTCCAATCGTTTATGACACTGTTGAAATCATAATTAGCAGTCTATAAAATAGTTTTACATCAATGAAGAGTTTGAAGACCTAGATCAACCTCGTTAAATGATAAAAAACAGAAAGTATCAGAGGTACCTGTATATTTGCTCGTATCCGTGAGTCTTCCAGTTGCTCCACCCTTTGCTGTTTTCTGAAGAACAAAAGGATGTCAATAATGGATCATTATTGATTATGGGGTTAAACAATTATATACTATTTGCAGACTGAGTTGAATTGTCCAGTTAAGTGAATATCTGACCGTGGTGCCAGCAGTTTGAGGTCCTTTGTCTGAAACCAGCTTCTCCATAGCCGCCTTCCTCTCTTCAGGACTCAGTTTCGGGAACCTCTTTACAGATAAATCCTCCAGAAGAGCCTTGAACTCCTTCGTGGTAATGGTCCTACCTCCTTTTCTGCGGTTGATATTGTTCGTATATTTATCTATTCAGGCTAAGATATACCATATCTATCAGCACGTCACCTTTCAACTATCCTACTAAGAAGCATTCAACTCAGATCGAGGGCTTTACAGCTTAAACTCACAGTCGCGACAATTTAAATTGCAACGATGATCGACCTACATGACAGTTATGAATCAACTTTTAAACGTTAAAATAACTCACGGTTTGTGTTTGGAGAAGCAAATGTCGACATCTGTAGAAGTGACAAGTTTTCCCATTATCCCTGTATCTTTACACAGCTTGCTTAACTTTTTATTATCCAACTCCTTTCCTGTTGATTTTGAGTCTCCGAATTTTGAGAACGCCGCGAACGTGGCTTCCATGATGTTGGATTAAAACTTTCTACAAAATATTACAGAATCAATCACAATTAAATTTAAATCTTGATAAATTTGAATTTAATCAAGTGGATCCTAAAAGACTGCAAGTTATTAGCTGTGGACCCATGACGAAACGTTTTAAGTTTTAGATTGTAAATAAGAATAAAATCGATCGGTGCAGATGAATAAACATTTGTGCCCAAAACTTTGTCACTAAATTCTTTGGGGTGTGACGTCCTGGTATGGATAATAGTCCCCAATTGAATTCCAAGGGATCTGAGTATATTGCTCCTTCGTAAATAATTTGTGGAACACTTACTATGCAGGACCCTCTAACTTAATTTTCAATTTGTACATGATTATTATCAACTTTGATTTTAATTCTGTGAGTGGTACGTTCGGATGATGATTAATCACTTTACACTCGACTGTCACGTGACTTCTTCAACCCGTTCTCTAGCTGGCCCTGAACGACTATTCAAAGCCCTAACCCTCTAATCTGATTCCAACCCTAACCCTCACCCAATCTTTAATAAAAGCATATGCTGAAACCCTGACCCTGACGATAAATTAGACTAACTTCCTTATACGGTCATATCACGTGATCGAGACAGTTTTTTCGCCAATATCTCGCCAGGGGAGCATTTTAACCCTATGTCATGGGGGGTGATTCGGAATCAGCGTCCGAAAATACATCGATCAAAGGTTGGTTTCAGAACAATCTCGAAGATCGACTGTAAAGTGATTTAGCACGCTCGGGTACGTTCATCAACATTAAAATTTGGAAACTAAAAATGTACAAGATCAAAATTTAAAAATAAATCGATTTGAAGTCAGTTCCAGTTTTAATGGTTTTCTATAACAGCAAAGTTACCACAATCATGTTCGTAACATGATGCACACATTACGGTCGGTCGCGGTTTATTTTAGCAAGCTCTTTGTCACAGATCATCACTAACAGGAATTATTCGGCTAAAGTTTTAAATCTGATATTGTACTATCTTTGAATTTCTTTATAGTTATGTGCGTGATAACACCTTATGGCTGAATCTTTGTACATGTACACCGACCCCGTACAGTTAAACCAGTCTGAATCGATATATTTTAAACGCTGATTTCAAAACACCCCACATGGCATACTCATTACTTACTTGGGTTACTTGGGTTGGGTTCCAAGCTAGAGACAGAGTGCTACCAGGCCAAGAATGTCTTGCATCTCCACCGCCAAGTGGTCATGGGGTTAAAATATAATACTCCCCTGACGATTAATCGACGAAAAACTGTTTTGATCACGCGACGCGACATGACCACATTATAAGGAAGTTCGTTAAATTTCTTGTTGGAGAATGCATAATGGAGTTAGCCGTTTACCTAAACTTTAACCACAACCCAAACATAACCATAACCTTAACGGGTGATACTCGTAAAACATTTGTTTCAAATATTAAAGACCGTCAACGAGTCCAACTCGGCGCGCGTCTTGCTAGGTTATAAACCTACACCCCAAAGCTAACCATAGCCCTAACCACAACCTTAGCACTAACAATAAGTATAACATACAACACTGTGCATTGCATGCAGTTGCACTGGCACTAAGGCTAAATTGCATTGTAGGTTTATTATAACATACCAAGACGGGCCTTTTACTTACTAATTCGCTCGCCCAAAAATTATCGACTGTCTTGGGTTTTTACGGTTTTGGCTTTGCAACCGAACAAAACGGTTTTACATAAGCCCTAATCCTGATTCCCAACCCTAACCCTAACCATAACCCCGAAGCTATCAATAACCCTAACCACAACCTTAACGGATGATACTCGTAGAATATTTCTTCCCAACAGGACCGTCGACGAGTCCAATTCGGCGCGCGTCCTGGTAGGTTGTAAACCTACAACCACAACCCTAACCCTAAACCGAGACCTAAACAATCGAATTCGTGTTTTACTAGCATTTCATGCACGTGAGCAAAATATTTTTTGCCCATAACTCTCTATGGAAGCATTTTACCTTTCCCTGTGCGTGGCGTATTCAATATTTAAAATCAATAACAAATTGCAAACAAAATATCCAAAAATGAAAAAATTCGAAATTTGAAATTGTTTACCTGGGGACCTCTACTCAGGCTATCATGTTTATAAACATAAAGATGTTTGTAAACAATAGAGATTAGGCGGAATGACAGGCTGAGCGCGGCCCAGTAAGAAATTGTTTTTAGAAGCTAATACTTTTTCTTTTTTCAAATTAATATGTAATAGGTTGTATCGCGTTGTGACCCCCACGGTCGTTTCACTATCGTCCTGACGATACAGGGGGAGCCGCGCACTCGTGCGCGGCGGGTCATACAACGTATGACAACAAGTAATAGGGTCGCTTGCATAAATGATAAAAGCGCAAACAGCGAAAGCTTTTGTTATCAAATCAATGGTGTGCATGATTCTAATATGAATCAGCGTTCGACGCGAAACTACATTGATTCAAGTTTATTTTTAAAAATCGAGTTATTTAGCTCGGTGATTTAGCTTGGTGCAGCCCATACCAGTTGCCGGTGGTACATCGCGCGCGCTGATCCATGATCTTACAAAAAATGTTATTGATATTTTATGCGCTACAAGCTCCACCGCCTCCCAATAATTCTAATTCTAAATCCCTTTCCTAAATTTGAATGAGTCTTGTTGTATGCCCTAACTGAGATTGTTTATTTTTAACCCTTAACCGACTGCGGACTGACCCGGCGCGCGCTAATTTGCAGCACTTTGCCGTTGGCTCTAGTAGTAGTCAATGACTTGTAGCGCGATGCCAAATGCACTATATCTAGGTGGTGCACCATAAAAATGAACTTGCTCGGATTTTAAAAATGTTTGTACCATTGTCAATTGTTTTCTAGAGACTGTGAGAATTATCACAATACCAAATTTGTTATACCTTTTTGGAAAGATTAGTTAGTTTCGCCTAGGTGTCATATTTGATGGTGCGCGGCTTTTGGAGCAAAATTAGCTGTAAAAGTCGCGTAATTCACCCCCACGCGCAGCGTCGTGACCTCTATTCGCAGTATTTTACACATATTTAGAGGTTGGCAATTTATTCCATTGATAATTTAAAAGTTTCAATATTTTTGTATTAAATTTTTTTTCAATACAGTTGTAAATCGATTAAGTTTGCTTTTCGTGAAAATTTGATATACTTTCGTAAAATAGTTTTGACGTGGCAGCGATTTGAAAAGAAATTTAGCTAAAACTGATACAAAAAAATGGACATTTTTTGATATTAAAACATGTATAACTTGGGCTGTGTTGACAGTAGAAAAATAAATTAACCCCTATCCGAAAGGTTTAAATTTTTTTAATACGCCGCGCAAATCTAAGCGCGCTATTCACGTGTCAAAATCGTCAAAAACGTAAAATAGTTGATGAAGGAGCACTATGGCGCCATTTTTACCTGATCGTATGTGAAGATTATAACTTCGCGCCATTTTGTTATTTCTGCTCGTTGTAAAATGTCAGCTGTTATCGACTGTTGTATTATATATTGCAATTAACGATTCACGATAACAGATAATAGGGTTTTGATTTAAGTTTTTATGTAATTTGACCAAATTTGACCAGATTCGTTGATTTTTGTCGTATTATTTGGATATATCTTCAGTTCCTTGAATGAGATCATTCTGAAAATTGGCGACGACCTTCCAATAGGGCTTTCACAACTGTCCGAAAAATTTGGTGGATATTATCGGAGTTGATATAGTGATGAAAATGGGGCAAAATGCGCTGCTTTTAGCTGTAACATTATGTCTGACAGTTGGATATGCTTTAAACTTTTCGGACACTTTCCTTGTAAGTCTATGAGTAAGCTTACCAATTTTTGTTGCAATCGGAGGTCGGGAAGAATACTTAATATCTATTTGTTTGAAGAAAATTGTGCTGGCCGAAATTAGCGCTAAAAAACCATCCTACAGTCGGCACGCGCTGCTCACTGTCGATGGCGCACTACCTACTATATCATATATACTGGGCCGCGCCGCACATACAATAATGTTTCTCACAGTTTCTTGTTGGTGTTTTGTCTGTGTTTGTTTGTCCGTAGTAGGAATTTACTGTAACTTTGGAGACTGGGCGCAGTAATGTCCCAGAGGGTTTGTAACATCATGGATGCTGACTAAGCTTACCTGATCCTCTCCAACTTGTATTAGTACACTACTTCATTCACACCAGTCATTTCACTACATTAAACTGATTGAGGTTAAATGCCCTTTGTACATGCTGAAGCGATATGCTATGATGAGTGGAATATGAGTTAGGATCAGTTTGGTCCGTTTCATGGCAAAAACATTTATTGATTTTGTATTAACCCTTCGGGGCTTGCGTGACCCTTATCATAGAACTGGTTTTCAGGACTGGCAGTCTGACCTATTGCCTTGCCAGCATAGGTGTACTTATATAGATTTGCATGGTTCAGTTGCATAGTAGTGTCCGAATTGCACTGATTCTAGCCCGAGTAGTGTTCGAAAGGGCGCCCTGTTTTGACATACCTCCTGAGCCGGTACTCATTTCCTCTCTGAGCTAGCTAGTGTATATCAGTTTCTTGTTGGTGTTTTGTCTGTGTTTGTTTGTCCGTAGTAGGAATTTACTGTAACTTTGGAGACTGGGCGCAGTAATGTCCCAGAGGGTTTGTAACATCATGGATGCTGACTAAGCTTACCTGATCCTCTCCAACTTGTATTAGTACACTACTTCATTCACACCAGTCATTTCACTACATTAAACTGATTGAGGTTAAATGCCCTTTGTACATGCTGAAGCGATATGCTATGATGAGTGGAATATGAGTTAGGATCAGTTTGGTCCGTTTCATGGCAAAAACATTTATTGATTTTGTATTAACCCTTCGGGGCTTGCGTGACCCTTATCATAGAACTGGTTTTCAGGACTGGCAGTCTGACCTATTGCCTTGCCAGCATAGGTGTACTTATATAGATTTGCATGGTTCAGTTGCATAGTAGTGTCCGAATTGCACTGATTCTAGCCCGAGTAGTGTTCGAAAGGGCGCCCTGTTTTGACATACCTCCTGAGCCGGTACTCATTTCCTCTCTGAGCTAGCTAGTGTATATCAGTTTCTTGTTGGTGTTTTGTCTGTGTTTGTTTGTCCGTAGTAGGAATTTACTGTAACTTTGGAGACTGGGCGCAGTAATGTCCCAGAGGGTTTGTAACATCATGGATGCTGACTAAGCTTACCTGATCCTCTCCAACTTGTATTAGTACACTACTTCATTCACACCAGTCATTTCACTACATTAAACTGATTGAGGTTAAATGCCCTTTGTACATGCTGAAGCGATATGCTATGATGAGTGGAATATGAGTTAGGATCAGTTTGGTCCGTTTCATGGCAAAAACATTTATTGATTTTGTATTAACCCTTCGGGGCTTGCGTGACCCTTATCATAGAACTGGTTTTCAGGACTGGCAGTCTGACCTATTGCCTTGCCAGCATAGGTGTACTTATATAGATTTGCATGGTTCAGTTGCATAGTAGTGTCCGAATTGCACTGATTCTAGCCCGAGTAGTGTTCGAAAGGGCGCCCTGTTTTGACATACCTCCTGAGCCGGTACTCATTTCCTCTCTGAGCTAGCTAGTGTATATCAGTTTCTTGTTGGTGTTTTGTCTGTGTTTGTTTGTCCGTAGTAGGAATTTACTGTAACTTTGGAGACTGGGCGCAGTAATGTCCCAGAGGGTTTGTAACATCATGGATGCTGACTAAGCTTACCTGATCCTCTCCAACTTGTATTAGTACACTACTTCATTCACACCAGTCATTTCACTACATTAAACTGATTGAGGTTAAATGCCCTTTGTACATGCTGAAGCGATATGCTATGATGAGTGGAATATGAGTTAGGATCAGTTTGGTCCGTTTCATGGCAAAAACATTTATTGATTTTGTATTAACCCTTCGGGGCTTGCGTGACCCTTATCATAGAACTGGTTTTCAGGACTGGCAGTCTGACCTATTGCCTTGCCAGCATAGGTGTACTTATATAGATTTGCATGGTTCAGTTGCATAGTAGTGTCCGAATTGCACTGATTCTAGCCCGAGTAGTGTTCGAAAGGGCGCCCTGTTTTGACATACCTCCTGAGCCGGTACTCATTTCCTCTCTGAGCTAGCTAGTGTATATCAGTTTCTTGTTGGTGTTTTGTCTGTGTTTGTTTGTCCGTAGTAGGAATTTACTGTAACTTTGGAGACTGGGCGCAGTAATGTCCCAGAGGGTTTGTAACATCATGGATGCTGACTAAGCTTACCTGATCCTCTCCAACTTGTATTAGTACACTACTTCATTCACACCAGTCATTTCACTACATTAAACTGATTGAGGTTAAATGCCCTTTGTACATGCTGAAGCGATATGCTATGATGAGTGGAATATGAGTTAGGATCAGTTTGGTCCGTTTCATGGCAAAAACATTTATTGATTTTGTATTAACCCTTCGGGGCTTGCGTGACCCTTATCATAGAACTGGTTTTCAGGACTGGCAGTCTGACCTATTGCCTTGCCAGCATAGGTGTACTTATATAGATTTGCATGGTTCAGTTGCATAGTAGTGTCCGAATTGCACTGATTCTAGCCCGAGTAGTGTTCGAAAGGGCGCCCTGTTTTGACATACCTCCTGAGCCGGTACTCATTTCCTCTCTGAGCTAGCTAGTGTATATCAGTTTCTTGTTGGTGTTTTGTCTGTGTTTGTTTGTCCGTAGTAGGAATTTACTGTAACTTTGGAGACTGGGCGCAGTAATGTCCCAGAGGGTTTGTAACATCATGGATGCTGACTAAGCTTACCTGATCCTCTCCAACTTGTATTAGTACACTACTTCATTCACACCAGTCATTTCACTACATTAAACTGATTGAGGTTAATGCCCTTTGTACATGCTGAAGCGATATGCTATGATGAGTGGAATATGAGTTAGGATCAGTTTGGTCCGTTTCATGGCAAAAACATTTATTGATTTTGTATTAACCCTTCGGGGCTTGCGTGACCCTTATCATAGAACTGGTTTTCAGGACTGGCAGTCTGACCTATTGCCTTGCCAGCATAGGTGTACTTATATAGATTTGCATGGTTCAGTTGCATAGTAGTGTCCGAATTGCACTGATTCTAGCCCGAGTAGTGTTCGAAAGGGCGCCCTGTTTTGACATACCTCCTGAGCCGGTACTCATTTCCTCTCTGAGCTAGCTAGTGTATATCAGTTTCTTGTTGGTGTTTTGTCTGTGTTTGTTTGTCCGTAGTAGGAATTTACTGTAACTTTGGAGACTGGGCGCAGTAATGTCCCAGAGGGTTTGTAACATCATGGATGCTGACTAAGCTTACCTGATCCTCTCCAACTTGTATTAGTACACTACTTCATTCACACCAGTCATTTCACTACATTAAACTGATTGAGGTTAAATGCCCTTTGTACATGCTGAAGCGATATGCTATGATGAGTGGAATATGAGTTAGGATCAGTTTGGTCCGTTTCATGGCAAAAACATTTATTGATTTTGTATTAACCCTTCGGGGCTTGCGTGACCCTTATCATAGAACTGGTTTTCAGGACTGGCAGTCTGACCTATTGCCTTGCCAGCATAGGTGTACTTATATAGATTTGCATGGTTCAGTTGCATAGTAGTGTCCGAATTGCACTGATTCTAGCCCGAGTAGTGTTCGAAAGGGCGCCCTGTTTTGACATACCTCCTGAGCCGGTACTCATTTCCTCTCTGAGCTAGCTAGTGTATATCAGTTTCTTGTTGGTGTTTTGTCTGTGTTTGTTTGTCCGTAGTAGGAATTTACTGTAACTTTGGAGACTGGGCGCAGTAATGTCCCAGAGGGTTTGTAACATCATGGATGCTGACTAAGCTTACCTGATCCTCTCCAACTTGTATTAGTACACTACTTCATTCACACCAGTCATTTCACTACATTAAACTGATTGAGGTTAAATGCCCTTTGTACATGCTGAAGCGATATGCTATGATGAGTGGAATATGAGTTAGGATCAGTTTGGTCCGTTTCATGGCAAAAACATTTATTGATAATGTTTCTCACAACCATGTCACATGTGATGATGTGATGATGAACCAATCGTTAAATCATAAATCAGCGAGATGCACCACTGGGCCACGTAACGGGGCGCAATCAAATTTTGACCGTTCTGTGTACATTTGTAAATGATGATTTCGATTTTGATGGCACATGGTAAGCATTTAAAGTTAAGGTGCACAAATTTGCACTTCAATTTCAAATCTTTATATTATCTTCACGATTATTTCAAAACCAAAACTAACTCGAATCTTAAAGCATAAACAGCTCAAATATCGTTTTACAAGCCTGTCACGTGCGTGCGTCTGACAACAATGGCCTTATTTGTTTATTAACTAGTAGTGCTATAATTATATAACTCGTCAAGAAATAATTTGTATGCTAATTGTAATAGGTCTTATTTGTTATTCGAAATCAGTGTAAAAAATACATTGGTATATAGATTATAGCTTACTTTCACAACCCCACAGCACACAGCTTATAATTTTAGGGGCCATCTGGCATCTACTTACTCTTAGGTGTTAGGACGTCCGCCAAAATCGCAGATTTTCAGAAACCACCCCTCCCCCTGTCCGGATTTGTCCGAAATTCCAAAACCACCCCCTCCCTATTTGCCGCGGACGTCCTAAGTAGATGGCCCCTTATATAATCATAAAACAAAAGCGTATAAGCATGTATAATGTACACAGAACGGTCAAAATCTAATCGCGCCCCACTAGTGCGCGATTGATACACTATACTACTTATACGTTGCATATTCAATATTGATGACAGCGCGCGATCAAAGTTTAAGTGGTATGCAAGGTGTATCAATACACGACAGGTAAGGTCCACAGCCAACATAATATAACAGTGTGCAGAAAGGTAAGGGCCGAGAAACGCAAACAGCAAGAACCTACTCCACAGTCCACAGTCCACGGCCACCTTGGGTTCTGATACTCATAAGACGGCCAAAACAAGACTGGAGACGCAGCTCCCTCCCAGAGAGTCGTGTTTTCTAGAGCCGCCCTTGAGTCTGGGGTTAAGATTATGTTACTGTTAGGCGAAATTCTTTGATACACGTTGTAATGTTGTATACCCCTTTTCTGCGAAAAGTGGTTTACAACGTATCAAGTATTATGATCTCTATCGCCAGAAAATTCGGTCGAGGGAGCAGCCAAGTAATGTTTTTAGACTGTAGACGACGGACAAGCTGGAGTCAGTGTAACAAATTAACTTGAAAAATCGAAATTGTCAACGAAAGTCAAGAAGAAGAGTCACAGTCAACTCCAAGTGCAAGTACGCTGGACCATGTAACGAAATTAAAGAAACTCAATATCCCAGCTCATATTTGTGGAGTACAACTGCCAATTCCAAACAAATACAGCACGGACGTAGAACTTAGCAACCAGTCTTTGTACATAGCAACCATCTGGTTTGCAGGGTCTATTAACGAGATAAGTTGCATCTGTAATTTAGTGCATGATACATTATACATCATGCGTTAAGTATTCGTCTCCGTTATCATTTTTGTAATTTAGACCATATTTTGTCTAAACTTGGGTGAAGTGAACAAAGAAGAGTCTAGAAATAAAAGTAAGCAACAGTTACCAAGATAACACTTCACAGTTCGTAAGATCCAGGACACATCAAATAACCGAAATATATATCACTTCTAATTCTGTAAGTAAAAATGTTTTAAATCTTCCAATCCTTTTGAAGACTATCTGGTTTAAGAAGCCATTTATTATTTCAACCCTTTAAATGCCCGTTTTCTCCAAGAAAGAATAATTTTAAATGAAAAATACAGCAAATAACTGCAACTCATCATATCCACAGTTAACAGTAAATTATCGTGGGCAAATAATGTTTTCTTGAATTGCGGTCACAGGTCAGACTCAGGGTGGCCAAATATAATATATATTATATAATTATTGCCTCATCATGGCCCTGGCCCAGAATACGTTAATTCAACTAAGCCATTAAAGAATAAGACAGAATTGCTTCTACTCAATAAATAGACTATAAAAGTGTGATGCAGGAGAAACAGACATTTGATTAGAGGATTACAAACACAAGGTTAATTGTATATCAGTAACCAGGTCGCGGCAAAAATACTCCAGAAATATTTCATATTAATAAATGAAATATTCAGTTACATCAAAGTTCTATTGAGAGTTACGGTAATATTGTTTTTGCTGCACCATCAATCATCTATTATCTGCCCCTTATCAAGAGTCCTAAAATTTACAGATTTGGACAGGACTATTGGCTATCTTACACTTTCACAATAAATATTTATTTCTTAAACTGAATCAACAGATCACATGATACCTCGCGCAAGCGCTTAAAAGTTTTGTCTCAAAATTGTAACCTAATTGTAACGAACAATGCGTTAATAACATTAAATCCAAAAAATAGAAAATAATTTGACGTAAATAACAAAGCAGATTATGTTTATATGCGTGTCAAAATTAAGCTCCGGTTAATTAATACAAGTAGCAGAGGTCACTTTTATTGAATTCAAATACAATTACAATCCTCAGAAAATTATTATAATAATAATTGTAATAATCGCACCCCATTTTTCAAATACTGCCAACCACTTGGTATGATGTGAAAATGTAATAAATTTAAATATATATCATTAAAACGGAGACGGTATGCTGGTCACATGACATGTTCTGACGGAAGGAATGATGTGCATGACGAATGATTATTAAAGAAGCATGTGACTGACATGTTCCTCTGGTCAAATAACGAGTCCTATCTTATGATAGGTGTTGTGCTTGGGATAATTGTAGATCTAGGGGGAGATGTTTTCCGGAGGGTTGGAGAGTGTCACCATTCAAAGTCAGCAGTCGCCATTTCTATCGCCCACAAGAACTTCTCTCGCTGCGTTTTGTTGTATACTTTCTCAATCGGAACGGTGAACCTCTTTGTCCTGAGCAATGTTTTGATGAAACGCTAGATACAGATCGTTTGGGTTACAAATTTCGGGTTTTAAGATCGTTTTTAAAGTACTTTAATTAAATTGCAACAAACGATCGCGATCTTACCAAGCGACGGTAATTCTGGGGTCAAGATAGTTAAGTTTACTGGTTCCCAAGGCAATGGTCTTGTTCTCAGCCTTGTCAGTTTCTTTGACTTGAAGTTTGAGCAGGGCCTCCTGTAAACGTTCTAATTTCCTCTTCTCAATCTCGTACCGTCTGGAAAATATTTTATTAGAAACCTGGAATATCAACATTCTCCGGGAGAACTAAACTAACTAGTCCGTCTTGTGATCTACGAGATTAATCGCTAGGAGGGATTTGATTTTCGGATTAAGTAGAACCAAGTAAAACAACAATGCCTCGCGCAGACACCACTGTTAAGAGTACCTATATTTACATTGTTCAGTGTTTTGAATTTCGATTTTCCGTCAAATTTCCAGATCAAAAGATTGACCAAAAATCAAATAAGCAAATTTCATCGGCAAAATAACCCACTTCTTGGCTTTGTCATTGTTCCGATAAAATAACCTACTTCTTGGCTTTGTCATTGTTCCGATAAAATAACTTACTTCTTGGCTTTGTCATTGTTCCGATGATGTCTGTAATAGTTTTTCGCCTCTTTGTAAACCCCTTTCTGTTTAGCTACATCTTCTTTCTTGGCGTCTTTCTGATTCCCAAGGTTCTCCATCTGTTTGTCGAATGTCTTGGGGGCTGCGCGCTGTGATGGGAAGTATAGTTAGTGAGGGGCAAATCACGTATTGGATCGTTATTCGTTTGAAACGTAACATTAAGTAAGAGAGAAAATAAATTATATAACCTTTTCAAGAAATATATAGTCTATTCAGATATAGTGCCTGATGGAAAAGTCTGTAAATCCTGTTAACCCTCAGTCCCTGACCCTTGAGGATGCTAAGCGGTAGATCTAAAACTAACCTGATGGTTACAGAGAACAGCTACAGCTCTGTTTGCTCTGTTATAAGTAAGAACAAGGTTTGGGAGATCACTCTTACTATCTGTCTGCTCCTGCAACTGCTGCTGTAAAGTCCAGGAAGCGTTGTAAGTACGGAACACTTTAGCAGTCAAACCGTCCATTAGTGTACCTGGGGGTTGGGAGGGTCAGTAGGGAGGGAGAGGGGGTTGGGAGGGTCAGTAGGGGGGGGGGGGGGTTGGGAAGGTCAGTAGGGGTGGGGGGTTGGGAGGGTCAGTAGGGGGAGGGTTTGGAGGGTCAGTAGGGGGAGAGTAAGTAGAGAGGGAGGGGGGTTGAGAGGGTCAGTAGAGGGGGGGTTGGGAGGGTCAGTAGGGGGAGGGTAATTAGGGAGGGAGGGGGGGTTGGGAGGGTCAGACGTCAGTAGGGAGGGAGAGGGGGTTGGGAGGGTCAGTAGAGGGGGGGGGGTTGGGAGGGTCAGTAGGGAAAGGGTTGGGAGGGTCAGTAGGGAGAGGGTTGGGAGGGTCAGTAGGGGGGGGGGGGGGGTTGGGAGGGTCAGTAGGGGGGGGGGGGGGGTTGGGAGGGTCAGTAGGGGGAGGGTTTGGAGGGTCAGTAGGGGGAGGGTAAGTAGGGAGGGACGGGAGGGGGGGTTGAGAGGGTCAGTAGAGGGGGGGGGGGGGATGGGAGGGTCAGTAGGGAGGGGGGTTGGGAGGGTCAGTAGAGGGGGGGGGTTGGGAGGGTCAGTAGGGGGAGGGTTTGGAGGGTCAGTAGGGGGAGGGGGTTGGGAGGGTCAGTAGAGGGGGGGGGGTTGGGAGGGTCAGTAGAGGGGGGTTGGGAGGGTCAGTAGGGAGTGGGGGTTGGGAGGGTCAGTAGAGGGGGGGGGTTGGGAGGGTAAGTATGGAGGGAGGGGGGTTGAGAGAGTCAGTAGAGGGGGGGGGTTGGGAGGGTCAGTAGGGAGAGGGGGTTGGGAGGGTCAGTAGGGAGGGGGCCGGGGGGGTTGGGAGGGTCATTAGGGAGAGGGTTGGGAGGGTCAGTAGAGCCGGAGGGGGCCGGGGGTGGGGAGGGTAAGTAGGCGGGGGGAGGATTGGGAGGGTGAGTAGGGGGAGGGGGTTGGGAGGGTCAGTAGGGGGAGGGGGTTGGGAGGGTCGATAGAGGGGGGTCGGAAGGGTCAGTAGGGGGAGGGTTTGGAGGGTGAGTAGGGGGAGGGTAAGTAGGGAGGGGGGTTAAGAGGGTCAGTAGGGGGAGGGTTGTTAGGGTCAGTAGGGGCGGAGGGGGCCGGGGGTTGGGAGGATAAGTAGGCGGGGGGGGGGGGGGGCGGGGGAGGATTGGGAGGGTGAGTTTTGGAAATCTCAATGAGGGAGGAAGCAGGACGTTGAACCTGGAATTTTATCTAGTGGGAGGTTAGACTGCAAATAAATGAATTCAGGAAGGACAGGGTATTGGGTTAGTTTGGGCTGTGACGGTACAGACGATAATCTTACCAAGATATTCATTCATCTTGCTTGTGTTGAGTCTGTCAAAGAGATCATCCCCCGGCTCCTTATCCTTGACAAATATCTTGAGATTCTTGTAGACTCTCTTGTTAACAGCCACCCAGTTCTGATATCTGATCGAATCTTTTCCCAGGAAATCAAACTCCACAACAAACTCCTTGTCCTCCCACTTCTCGTGTAGCTCTGAAATTGGGCTATATTTAGACTCGTTATTTGTGAGGCTGTGAAATTATGTACTTAGTTGGCAGTAGTTAGAAGTATACATTTTCGTTGCAGTGTTTTTTGGTAAATATTAGGTGGCAGAGTAATACCAAATTTCCATAAGTTACGGAATAAAAATAATACAATGGACTGATCCTATCATTATATTATAGTGAATTGTTATCAAGTGAAACCAATTACATGTCAATATTAATTACAATAACACAGCTGATAGGTGTCTGAGTTTGTTTAACGTTCAGTAAATAACGGTAAAACGATTAAATAGATAAATATCATCATAATATTATTCACTTGAAATGTATCTTACTTCGATAACCAAAAATAAATTTTAAATTTCAATCACGTCCTCTTCGCTGCTATGTTAATGAATATGAACACAATACTTCATATGTTTTCTCAAAACCTTTTCATTTCGGAATATCTCGTTACACCCCTTACAAACAGGATTCTCGGGAGGCAAGGATTCCTTGAGCATGTGTTTGCGCATAATATGATTTTTGAGATTTCTTTTTGAATATAATAGAATGTTACATTCAGGACAGGACATTTTTCCTATTTGTTTGCCGCTATGGATCATTTGATGACGCATCAAATTGATTTTTGTCGCCAACCGTTTAGAACAAATATTACATTGAAAAGGTTTCATCTTATATTCAATCTTTTCAATCTTTTTAAAATTGTTGCCGAAAAGTTTCTGTTTGTGTGCAACGGATAGTTTGTGGAGGTCTAATTCGATTTCTGTGGTAAACGTCTCGGAGCAGTCCTTACACGTGAAAGTGGTTTCCTTTGAATCTAAAATCAAGTTAGAACAATTCGTCTGGGCTGTTTTCGTGCTTCCGGAACCAGAAGCACTCTCACTGTGTTTACATCTAATATGTTTACTTAGCATAAACGGATATCTAAACGTCTTCTTGCATCCAGCAAAAGGGCAACTGATTCGGCTTAATTTCTTTAGTTCATGAACGTGATCGGTTTTTCGGTGTTCATACAGTTCTCCGGGTGATCCTTTAAAACTACACAACGAACAGGAAAAAATCCTTTTCAAGCCTCTCGGATCTGAATGAATCCGTTTCATATGTTTGCTCAAATATCGAAAGAACCTTCCACAGTGAGGGCAAGAAGAATAAGGCTTGTGGGTCTTCTTATGATTATCAAGAGATCGAAGAGATCTAAACCTTTTTTTACAATCTGTTACTGAACATACGTATACATGAGAGTTCGCCATGATTTCTTCCTCTGACAACAATGATTTGTGAGAGTGTATTAAATGATACTTCATCCTATCCTTGGTAAAGTATTTAGCATCACAATGCGGACAGTTCACTTCTTTTTTGAGTCCAGATTGACAGCGTTGAGAAACATGAGTCTCCAAACTTCCAACATGGCTGAAAAATAAACTGCAATGGTTGCATTTATAGTCGGTTTTGATAAAGTGCCGAACCTTGTGTTTAGCCAAACATTTTGCGTTTAGGAATTTCGTGTTGCAAATCGAACAACAGTGTTTGAGTGTTTTCAAACTCCCTAGTTCATGACCGTGAATATTTTTCCTGTGTTTATAGAGATCTCCACGTGATCCTTTAAAACTACACAGCGAGCAGGGAAAAATCATACTATGAGAGTTTCTGCTTCGTTTTCTTCCATGGACTCTACTTTGGTGATCATTGAGGCCAAGTCTGGTGTGAGAAGCATAGCTACACAAGGTACAGCAGTATTGATTATTTTCATCTCGAAAAAAGCCAATCTCTCCATCAGGTTCCCCAGATATAACAACACCGTGTTTCTCTGGAGCAGCATTCTCAGTCACAATGGGCTCTTCGGGAATGATTTCATATTTAGCGACCCCAGCAGGTTCGGAAATAAGAAGAGTTGTAATGGTGCAGTCTCCTTCTGTTTTTAAAGCTCCCAACTCCTGCTTGAAAACCTCTAACACACTTGAGATTGTAGTTGACGGAAACATCTCATCATGATCTGTCATCTCCTGCTTTATAGCTGGCGTTTCTTCGGGGAGTTCTGACATACTACCTAGAATCTAGTGAAAAGTACTACATCAGTCAACATGTACCTCACACATTTTCCAAAACACAATCAGAATAAACTTGAATAACTTACTAATATGTTCAACTCTCAGAGAACAACATCCGACCGTATCAGCTTCATCGTCATCCTTCTCGTTTCCAGCCCTCAAAGCGAGCTTGTCGATAAAATACAGCGCCACTGCTCTCTGTCTGACCATCATCTCTTTGCTTTGGAAATCTGAACGATAGTTCTCCCGAATCTTTTCTACGCAGTTCTGAAATTACAGTAAATAAGCCACGTGCTAGTATGGGACGTCACAGCTTGCTTGATTCAATCTTCCGCTTAAATTTTCTCAGACATCTCATAAAGAATATGTAACACATTTAAGTTGTCAATGAATATCCCATATGAGGCATAATTGAAATTTGCATGTCTGGAGAAAGGGTGAAAGTTTATTCCGAAAGGAAGGGTTCAGGAAGTCAGTTTATCCAATTAAAATTGGCTTGTGACGATTGCAGATACAGGTTATGCTTTCATACGAGCGGCCAAGGATCGAGAAGCTTTGCTTCCAGCACTTCACTCGCAGTAATCGAACATTCTAGGACATAGAAATTTTACGGAGACGGACCGTTCTTTGTGCGAAAATTTTCTAAGTTACCAGTGAAATGCTTCCCATTTATGCTTTTTACGCGCTGCGCGCGATTTCGGAAGACCCTTTCGAGCAAAATGTCACAGTTTACTTACCTTCAGATTGCGCGCAGTCTCGTACTTGGCGTGATCTTTTTCTCCTTTCAACTTAGAGGTAGGGTTCAACATGACATACTTGAAATTACCCAACACATTCTCCTTCCAACACGCTAACCACGTGACCTGTAAAGATTACTTTTAAGAGTAATGCACACCACACACCAGAACCCAGTGCAGTGCAGTGTTAACAATATAGTCTACACAAGTTTTACATGGAACAGAACAGTCCATATTGACCCCTCAACCGATTATTGAATTTAGAATACAGATAAATTAACGTTATAGAGCGTAACACGTTATAGAGCGTAACACGTTATAGAGCGTAACACGTTATAGAGCGTAACACGTTATAGAGCGTAACACGTTATAGAGCGTAACACGTTATAGAGCGTAACACGTTATAGAGCGTAACACGTTATAGAGCGTAACACGTTATAGAGCGTAACACGTTATAGAGCGTAACACGTTGTAGAGCGTAACACGTTGTAGAGCGTAACACGTTGTAGAGCGTAACACGTTATAGAGCGTAACACATTATAGAGCGTAACACGTTATAGAGCGTAACACGTTATAGAGCGTAACACGTTATAGAGCGTAACACGTTATAGAGCGTAACACGTTATAGAGCGTAACACACACCTTGTTGTCGTGTTGAACTGCTTTCCACTTGTGTCCTTCAGGGCACTTCGGGGCAGTTTCACCTTTACCGATGTTTATAATGATAGACTCTGGAGGAGTCCGTAATTTGATCTGACAAGAGGAGAGCATTACGTTGGTAATAAAAACACATTACGTCATTTAATTTAATGAGAGGTATCATATGATCGTATAAAGTGTTGCAGATTATTCCAGGGCGTTAAGTTGCAACATAGACTTGTCTATAAAAAAACAGGCCGGAAATTAGTTGTATTCTGCTATTAAATAATTAGTAGCGGTCCCATTTTAAATCTGGGGAGGAACATTAAATATCTAAGTTTCTTCTTACCTTGCCCTGTTTGGGATGGTCTCCTCGACCTCGGAACAAGCCTGGAGGTTCTATCCGGAAATTACCAACTTTCTGAATGTGACCGTCCACTTTACACAAACCATACACGTCAGCTATTGCTTTGTTCTTGACTTTTAGTTCCTGGAGAGTGAGTGGGTACTGTTATGAAATTGTTGGAAAATTAGTAATTTGGTGAAATATTATTAGTATATAAATTGACATATATGTTTTTTATCCTGATCTTTACAATTTATAGCTTATTGCTGAGTTACTGAGGCAGATAAACGTAATGAAATAAAGTTTATTAATAATACACAAATTTGGAGTCAGGTATATGTCATACATGTGATATTATAAGCAGTTAAATGAATTACAAACCCTCCAACAACATCTAACAAAACTGTTTCACTTGTAGTGGAGCAGAATATTTTAGGATATTATTTATTATTAACCGCCAGCATTATTGACTCGAATTCACCAAAAGTTAGGTATCTTTTTTAATATCTTATCTACTTTTCCATTGGTTAGAAAGTATGATGTATTTATAGATCAAATTATTTTATTGGTATGTAGATCATATCTGAGTTAACATACGGATTTATGGAAACTAATACATTTTAGTGTTCACCACACTTTATACTGGTCTGTGTGTATATTGTAGAATACCGTAGTTTATAGCTCAAAAGACATTAACAATAATATGCGGTGTACGACGTCAAAGAACAGGATATAGAGGGCAATAGAAGGCAACCAGTAGTTACGCACAGGCCCTAAGGGATACACGTACGTTAATTAGTACGTGTTTTATTGGTTATAGAACGGCCAGGACAGGATCTTATCACGTGTTAACTGCACGCTGCCGAAAGTCTCTTCCCTAGCGTGTTGTGGTAAAACTAATATTAACAGTGGCTCTATCCATGCTATCTATACCTTCAGTAAAAGTAGATGATAATAAGGTGAAGAGTTAAATACACACTGAAATAGGTTTGTTAATAACTCATATTCCATTGGTAGTGGGAGAAATGAAGCATGAACATTGAACATTGCACCCTTTATACTGATTTGATTAAATTTTCTTGTGCTACTCTCCCGTGTGACGACAAGATCTCTCTTTGAGCTCTTGAAGTCAGTATCCCCATAACCACATAGCCAGTCAATAGCCACAACCAGTCAGCATTAACTGCCTCCTAATGTCAAGAAAATTAAACGGTGTCTGGACTGTAGCCGTATTTGATATCAATAATCACTGCAGAAGAATTGAGGACTGCAATGTTGACGAACTAATTTCAGAAAAGGGACAACCCACCCAACTTCTCTCAAGTTCACACACAGCATCCAAACGCTTGATAGGGTGCTTGATCGGATATTTAACTCGCCCAAATTTAAACTTTGGATTTAAAAAAGGTCATAAAGGGCTCATAAACCATTAAAAAGGTCAAGTATACTTTTCTTGCCAGTGCACCAAATTCCATGTTCACTTATTACTAAATATCATAGTATTGAACAATAATCAGTGTACATTCAATACCACCGCCATTAGGAAACATCATGTAATATATGTAACAATACTAATTATAACAATACTAATTATAACAATACTAATTACTTCAATCAAGATAAAAACAGTAGTTAAGATAAAAACCTCACCTCTTTTTCCTCCTTGGTCCTATTTTTCCTCTTAGCTGCTTCTTCTAAGTAATACTGGTGCATGGCGGAAAAGTCACACAGCTCCAACTTCTTCAAAACCTCCCGTTCCTCTTGTGTCATCAACTGAAACACACTCTAAGTTATAATGTGCTCAACTGAAACACACTCTAAGTTATAATGTGCTCAACTGAAACACAACTTAGTTGCGTCATTCTGCATTATATTAAAACACGAAGATATGTGTAAGACCCCACCGTAACTAAATGTTACTCAAGTACGTACAGAGTAAGTATTCGAGTACTCGTTTTAACGGTTCACAATCAGGACTCGCAAATCAGGAGCCAGGAGCTCTCTGTTTGTGATATGGTGAAGAGTATATTTGTTTGTTTGTATGTTTGTTTGTTTGTCGGTTATTATGTGTTCAAAGTAAGCTCTGGAACACAAAGTAACAGAGTATAAACGATATTAGGTTAGAGACGCTGCTCAGTGTACTGCACAGTAATGTGGAATTGATGGTGTGTTGTTATACACGGACAGTGGTCGCTATTTAGCGACTATGTAGCCACTACATAGCACATACTACATAGTAACTATATATAGCTAGTATAAACTATATAGTGACTCTTTAGTGGTCACTACGGAGCTCTTGTCTAGTTACAGTGACCGTACTTCTTACAACCATGGAACTATACACCAAAGCAAGAAGCTGTGCCGAGATACCAGATTACTGCGACTAACCGAAGTTAGAAGTACATCTGCATTTTACACAACACTGTAAACAGCAAATTACACATAACACAGAAATAAGGATCAGGAAGCAGGAAATTGTTATATACCCCAGACCATGTGAGTCACACAATGTACTTACTGTACATTCACATCATGTACTATACACTAATGTACCAAACATAAGTCCACGTAGTATATACGCAGTATATCACTATATAAATAATATATATTTTATATAAGCCGATATGTTTCAGTGGCGGTGCACAGATTTGACAGAATAATGGGTATTATAGAGCTAATGAAGTTATACTGCGGAGACAGTATTTCAAATTAGTACCATCTAGAAAGTCTGCACGAATCAGTGAGATGATGCGTTTTAAGAACCAACCTTTCTGAGGTCATCGAAGAAATTTTTCCTGAAGACCACTTTTGTTGTGTAGTCGTGATCCAACATTTTTGCGAAAAATGACATGTTTTCTTCCGTTCGTTCTGATAACTGGAATACCTTTCCTGCAATAGTGATTTGCAAAATAATGACAGTATTAAATTAAATGTAATGTCCATAATTTCCATTCATAATCTGCAGATCGTATTCGTGCGGCAAGGTTGGTTTAAAAGAGTTCATACACTCTCTAAATGTGGGATATATTATGCAGGTTGAATGAAAATAATCCTTCATATGGTTGTCATGCCAAATCCTAGTGGCAAGGCCACTATAATTTCGGATTATCAGAAGAGTAATATATACCGAGGTGAGTGGTTGCCAACGAATTGCTATGTTATCCATAATCGCAATTAAATTCTAATTAATAACGAATAAATTTCAACTGAAATAATCTCGGCAAATTAAGATTCAAGCTCTAGTAAACCGCCAAAGAATAAACAGTTCACCAAGGTTCCAACATACCGTCGTATTTGAACTTGATGTGGCCGGGTAACCTCTCGTAAGGCTCAGGAAATGCGGGTCCGCTGTGGGAAAGAGATCTCCACTTCTGTCCCTCTGGTAGTTTATCTTCCAGCCACCACTTCCAAATTGGGATATCTGGCTCTTTCTCTTTCTTCGGCTTCTTTCCGGCTAAGGGAGAAGTGAGGATAGGAAAAGGGATCCAGTACTTAGACAAATTTAAATCATAAATTTAAATCATAAAGTACACTGACATGATTTCGAATAATAGTGATAAATTATTGTACTGTGAACACTAATAATAGCAATCAGGAATTTCTTACGTTTTGCCTCGCCTTTTGGTGGAACTATCGTTCTCTTGACGACTTTCTTATTGTTAGTTTCCGGTTCCTTCTTTATTTTCTTCTGAAATGTATACAGGGTGAATATCTCCTAATCGCTTTAAGTTTTTCCTATTTTTTATAACGGCCAGGTAGCGCAGTTGGTTAGAACGCCTGTCTTACAATCGTTAGGTTGCGAGTTCGAAACCCACTGACTGCCTGGTCGTGGGGTGAGCGTCGTCGACGTTCAGCTAAGGATCATGAGTGGTCTATGCAGCCCCCCGGTCTACTCAGCCGAATACTCGAGAAATCGGGTGTGAGGGTTAAATGAGGAGCTGCACATTGCAGCAAAGTCTCGGACGAAGAAAGTATGGTACACACTACCTTAACCGTCACTGGCCAAAAAGATCCTTCGGCTTCCTGTAATTGGCTGGTTGCACTTGTGTAACATTGTGGCTGTTGGAATACACCGAAGTAAAATAAGTGTCTAGATAAAAAAAAAACTCTAAACCAACGTTTGTCTGTCTGGCCCAGACAGCTTCAAAAGGACACAGTCAAGAGTAGATAATATACAGGATACAATGGTTACGGTACATATATCACTGATTAACATCACCAATGCATGGTCAAAACTTGTAAAACAAACACTCGTGAAATGGCATGGTACCTTCTTCGGAACATTCTCCTCGTCGCTGGAGTCGTATTTGGTCTGCTTCTTGATCTTTTGAGATCCACCCTTTCTCTTACGAGATGCTAACGGAATTTCGTCATCACTATCACTCTCCGCCTGAACCAGAATGTGGGTTACTAACTAAACAGTTAACTAGTTTTTTTCTTCAGTAATTGCTACATCAAAGCTTCGATTAACTGTGCCCCGAAAATAGGTTGAATAGAAGGGGAAAGGCTGAAACAAATTTACCAACTAATTATCACCTTTCTTTTGGAAAGAGGCACATCATCGTCACTGTTTTTATAGTCGGAATCCTCCCCACTGTTTCCATTTACAGCAGCTTCAGACTCACTACCCTCTGACTGTGGTTCCCCCTTTGGAACCAGCTTCTTGCGCTTCCGCGACGCCAGAGGCACTTCATCATCGCTTGAGGTTGGCTCTTCTTTTACTCCGTTTTTAGCGCCCATTCTTACCTTAAGTGATAAAGCGTGAAGTTGTTGATAAGGAGAAAAATTTATAAATTGGAAGTGTTGAAATATTACAATCCTCAATTTTGTTGTTTTGAGAAAGTGGAGGAAACAGCAGAAAATGAGATTAAAATGAAACTAGTGTTATTTACACTCATTCCAAAACATTTGGGTAATATTATATACGAAAACTTTCAACATGTTTGAATTCAATTACATTTATATCATCAGCAAAAATCACAATTATTCAGAACATAATTATGCAAATATATCAACTATACAGTTCCTATGGCTAAAAACATTCACAGATGATTCGGATCTCAGATTGTTTTGCAACATATCTGCCAAAACAACAATTATCATCATCTCGAGTTATTGGCTGAAAATAAGGCCTAGATACTCTAAGTATCTAAATTAGAAACGCATTTAAAACCATTCCATTCAGATCACTTCAATATTAAGTAATATCATGAATATTGAATATGTTCGATTAAAACCACATTCAGAAAACAAATAGATTCTATGCACTATCCATGCAATCCATTAAAACATTGAAAGTTCATGAAATAAGATTCTTATGATTTGCTCTTCTATACCCTAAAACAATTAAGTATTTATACCGTTAATTTAAAACTGGTTCTTATACTTCTTAACTTCGACCATGACATGATGAACATTTATCATATCCATCCTACAAGGTAATGTTTTGAAGGGAGGCTGAGATAATATCTTGTGGAATCTGCTGTAATACTGGATCATTTTAGTGAGGGCGGACTGCAAGATAACAGTGCCGTTGTTAAAGTTCGTGAAACGCCTCATCACGTCACTATTGATAGTGTCTATTGATTTCTTATGGTCCTGATTGAATCCTCTGACTATTTGATTAATATAACCCTCGTTAACTTTAATCCCAGCACCGTTGGGTCCAGCGGTTTCTAGTTTTTTCTCGTTGTCCTTCACGAAACTGATCATGCCCCCGAAATGTGGGAGTAAAACCTCATCTACGTACTCATTGATACGCTTGTTTAGAAGCTCCTGGATGCTCAGTACTTCTTTACTTGTATCAGTGGTCCGGCACTGCATCACGGATAACATGAGGTCGTAGTTGTTGATGAGAAAGACCAGTTGGTCCTGTCTACCGTGAAACTCTGCTGCCATCCTGAGGATCACATTTTCTACCTCCACTTGGAGAAGGGACATGGAACGAACTGTTTGATCGTTTGGGAACTTGTCATTGAGGGTGTGAATAGCGCTGTAAAACTCTCCAAACCTCCTGGTGATAAAGTGAGGTCTGGTGTCTAGTTCACTGAGTTTACCAGGGTCTGTTTCTCGGATACTGTGAATGTTTTGAGACAACACGAAGGTAAACCTTGGCCAGAGGATCTGAAGGAGCTGGTTGTGGAAACCAACCAGAGCACCAAAACCACGTTTCTTCATAAGTTCGTGGTAGTGCATGGTAATGTGAGCACAAAACATTATGCCAATACAATCGTAACATTTCTCCATGTACGATTCTACTGATTTAATGAGAAGGGACAACGTCCTCTCCATAACGTTAGTGAACAAAATCTGAGCTTTCTCACCTCGGACCTTGAAGAAGTGGACCAAGAACCCGTACTCTGCACATACATTATCTATCAGCGAGAACTGGACGCTCCTGAAGATTGCTTCGTACGGGAATTTCTTGTCGGCAGAGTGTACGGGGATGATTACAGGCCACTCAAGCTGATTATTGATGAGATCGTCCCGGTTACCCAGAGTAAAGACAGTGCTCCGCGACCTGATGGACTTGCTGGTGGAAAACATGGAAAGTTGGATACTTCTTTTAGATTCGTCCTCGGCTCCCATGACATCAACTTTGGTTGGAACCTCCTCATACTCTAGCTTTATAAGCCGAGACTGGTAAGTTTTGAAGTAGGAGAAATACACTTTGCTGACCGTGTCCACGTACTCTATTTTTATTTCAGCAGCAGTTGTGGGAGAGTGGATTACAAGGAATTCGTAGTAATATTTGAATTTTAGCAGAGTTTCTTGCAACACTTGATAGTTTGACATCGGCTTCTTATATTCCTGAACCTTTTCCAAGATATAAAATCTAATCTTGATGACAGCCTTCGTTTTTAGTTTGTCTAAAACGTCAGACACATCATTTGAAGCCAGAGTATGTTGTTCAGCCTCAGCAAACTGAAGTTTCTTGTCCAGTTCATGAAGTGCATCCATGAAGGGTTGTTCGACCACTGAAGTGTTCACTAGGGTTTCAACTAGTTTTGGACTCACAACGATACTGTCTAGAAATGTGGATAGCTTAGTTTTAAGTTCCTTTCGGTTTCCCAGTTTCACAGACATTTCCAAGCTTTTTTCCTGTAGAGTCTGGATCTCCGTTGATATACTGCCCAGATCCTGCTGAAACGTTCCCAACATCTGTTCCATCGTTTCGAGAATAGAGTCGCACTGTTTCATTTCCTGGTGAAGCTGAGCTATTTTCTTACTTTCACCGATGTAATCAGTGATGGAGGCTGCCTCTACAGCAGCTAACTCTTTCTCTATTTCCTGAGAATAGTGCCTGAGATCCACGCCCGTTTTCAGAGCTTCCTGCACCAGCTCATCCTCTAGATTCTCTCTGATATGACCGTTAACTATGTCAAGAATAATGCCATCTCTGTTGGTCAGTTCGTCGATCATTTCATCCCGACTGGTGAGATCCAAGTTACCAAGGTCCAGTGCAACGTCTATATCACCCGGACTCAACATATCAACCATCACTGTGAGTGCTTACAGCTAAACCATCACGATTGGACCACGACCAAAGTTACATAAAAGAATTGAAACTTCGGGACGGATACGGGAGTTAACAATCCTCCGAGATCCCTGTGCTAGATGCTATGCTGGGATAAGTAATATGAAGTATTGTTACACACAATCCCGAGATCAGAAGTAATGATTAACATTTAACAGACAACAGTGCGATGAAGATACACCATGGCATGGTGTATATCATCTTAGTACAAAAGCTAAACTGATGGGCAGTTGTACGACTGATAATACTGAATAATGCTATTATTGACGCTATCATTGATACTTCAACCTGCAAACTGTAGTATTGCTCGAAGTTCTTCAAAAAACACCATATTTAAACGAATTTCCTGCCCCTGAGCGGGCCTGTGCTCTGCTGATTGCATCACATGGATTCGATTATGATAATAATGTACACTTTTTACTCTTATATTTGTACATTACCGTTTTGAATAAGCACAACCTTTTTAAATGCGTCAAACAGCAAGAACAATTCAACTTTAACATAGAAATAATTGTCCAATCAAGATTAATCACAGTGGGAATACATTGCAAATAACGGATGAGCAATAGTGATACCCTTCAGTAGAGACCGGCACATTACACTATTGTTAGGGTGCCGCGATGAGGAAAGAAATGCGGACACTAAGTCACTGACCAACATATTAATTTACAAAATTCATTTTGCTGAAAATATAAGCTACAAGATTACACCATTTAACATTCAGAACAAATATAAAGGCTGTTGGATTACTACAGGGATGAGTAACAGGGAAAACTAGAACGTACCGAAGCAAACACAAGGGTGTGATGACTTATTTTAAAACATACTGAACACATTCAACACGCAAGGATACGCGGAGTGAAATCATAGCAATACATCTGTCTTAGAACATCATGAACAAGATAACGCTCGATTCGAAAGCGAGTGCGCGCTGCGCTGATTATATATAGATATATATTATGTATTAGCTCCATACCTATTATATGCGCTTTTTGATCTCAAATATTACTTTGGTTAACATTCAAATCAAAAGTTGCAATCAAATACAACAATTAGTTAATTAGAAAAAGTTATGTATAAAATGCTTAACGCAGTTTGTGTCAGTTGATTTAATAAGTTGTACATATTTTCAAAGTAAAATCAAGGCGGTGTTTTTTACAACATGTAAACATTCTAAATGTTTAGACAAATACATTTTATCATTTTAAGCCTAATGTTGGTCTAAAATTATTTATTTTGATGTATAATCAGAACATTAAAGGATTATATTGTCGAATTCGTAAATTACTCGCCGCGCATTTACTATATAGCGCCGCGCACTTTCGATCAAACATTTCGTGCCCTCTAATAACTTTGCGAATCAGGGTCTACCACGTCAGCCGTTTTGCTAGCAATAGGTCTAATTATGGATAAATGCGTATACAGTCTGTGGTGTATACTTTCTATTTGCAATCCTCGTCCTTTTCGTCGCTAGTCATTTGTTAATCTTCCGTGTTCTTACCAGTGTTATCGTTTACCTCACAAAGTTGTTTCTCTTCCGTAGAGTTTGATGATCAGTGTCCATATCTGAATTTGCAAAGCATGTCAGTGACATGCTTTGCAAATCGTTTCAAAATGTCACTAAGCTAGGTTTTGTATTCGTCATTACGCTTGCAACTGGGATCGCTCATCGCTTAATGGCGATCGTTGTGCGATCTGGAAAATATTGGGTTTTACAAAGAGTATTTGAAGTGAACCTGATCCCGGGCAGAACTTGATATTTGTTTTGGGACATTGATGGAAATATAGAGCACTGTACCAGTTGCATCACATGATTTGATTGAATGTATCATTTTATACTTTTGCTACTTTAAAAAATGAACCTGATTTGGTTCATTTGGCAGAATGCTTATTTTTACATGACCTCTTAATTCAGTAAACCATATTGCTCGGTAAATCCTATAGCTTCGTATTACAACGTGTTTTTATTTCTGTCGAGGTTTCTGCCGTGTTATTTCGTTCACTTTTTATTATAAAGCAATGAAAGGCATTAGTTTGGTCAAATCAAACGGAACATATGCTATCAGACTTTCAACTGACTAAGGCAGGGTTAAGACAATCTCGACGCTAGCAACGATCCCCTTTTACATAGTTCCACTAAAATGATAATTTAAGATTAAATATGTATAGTAATAGTTAATAAAGTAAAAAATATAATAAAACGGTAGGGATAAAGTATATTGAAACGTATTCGACACGTCATGAAACGAACTGACCCAATAATTAAACTAATAGATCTCCCGCGTAATCTCCCGCGCAATTCTAAGACTCCGATTTGCGCCGTTGCAAAGTTGTTGTTTGTTTGTTGTTTGTTTGTTTATAGAACCCGTCCCCAATCTCGTATCGGAAAATGACTAAACTCAGGTCTGAGTGTGAATACGGGTGGTACCTGCAAGAGTGTTCATTAACTTTCATCGTTGCAAAGTTATTATAAAACTAAATTCAACACGTGCAACAAATATATCGCAACAATAGAAATAGATGCCAATGTCAAGCTATGGCATTAATATATTTCCACACCCAATACCAAACTTATTCTTTAGCCCATGCCTCTTTACCACAGATAAGTATATTTTACTCAGACGATCCCGTCTAAAACCCAACTCAATTAAATCATCAGTAAATTTCAAAACCCTATCAGAAAAAGCAACAACGTTATTACAGATCCTAGAATATCTCACAACCTGTGAACAGTACGTGCCATATAATACACTACTAGCTTGATTACTCATCAAAGGTTGAAACTTAACCACTTTAAAACCAAATTTATCCCTTTTATCATAAACTCTACAAGAAAACTTCCCCTCTCTATTTATCGAAATATCAAGATCTAATACATTGGCGGCACTATCTACTTCATTTTCCTTATTAAGAGTAAGTGAGTCTGGATATATTAACTTAAAATATTCCTCTAAGTAACCATCAGAGTTAAGGGTAGTAATATCATCTATAAGTCTAAAAGTATTATTTAACTTCTTTACAATATAGTATCTATTTTTATACGTACTATCTAGGAAACTGTTCTCAAAATACCAAAGTGTTAAGTTAGCAATATATGGACCAGGGTTGATTCCAATAGGTACACCGATATGTTGCCGATATAAGATCTCTCCTACTTTAAAGTAACAATTATCCAGTAGAAACTCAACACATTTAATCAGCTTAACTTCATCAAAAGCCACAGTCCCATCTCTAAAGCTATTAACCCAAGCAGACCCTTTATCGTAAACAGCTATAAACTTCTTCCTACTATTCCTAAAGGCTAATTTAACAGTAAACTTGAGAGCATCCTTGATATCTTTATGGGCTAAATTCGTGTATAAAGTAGAAAAATCAAAAGTTTGGATGTTTCTCGCTAAGCTATTATCATTAATTTTATCTAAAGCTTCTAAAATCGGCTTATTATTCAAAATGACCCAATTCCTATTAACTCCTGTAACTTTAAACAACATGTTAGTATATCGGCAGATCTCTGAATAAACAGCCTTTAAGGCTAAAGAAATCTTTACTGCCAAGGGCTTAATACTACAATTAGCATAAGAAATAACATACCTAAACTTTAAAATTGGCTTATGAAATTTAGGACTCGAAAACATGTGAGGCAAATTATCAATATTAGAATCTACTTTTATCCCAACGTCTTCTATGAACTTGAAAATATCTCTGTTAATATCACGAACATCATGCTCCCCACTAACATCATCAATACCCTCATTAGATCGACACTCTTGTATAATATCACTTAAATAATAATGTTTACAAATTATAGCGACGTTCTTAGTTGCTTTGTCCACCGGACATAAAACAAAATACTTTCTAATAAACGCTAATTCTTCACAAGCTTTATCATTACTAAACACAGATTTCCGTTTAAGCTGTTTAGGATATTTCATTTTAAGAGCTTCAGTATTCTTCTTATGCCCATTATCAAAGTTTTAGTTCATGTTGACCTGATTTTCACTAACACTTTTTGTAGGTTATGAACTTATGAGTACCCAGTATTCTGGTCCTCCCACCAATGGGGTCCCATTTCCGGGCCCTCCTGGTGGCAAAGCTCCACCTCAAATGATGGGAAGACCGCCGTTTTCCGGGCCGCCCAAGTTCTCAGGCCCTCCACCCAGCTTCAACGGAAGACCAGCGGGACCCCCATCGTTTGCAGGGCATCAAGGTGGCCCACCATCCATGGGACCTCCCTCCATGGGACCTCCCTCAATGGGACCTCCCTCCATGGGACCTCCCTCTATGGGACCTCCCTCCATGGGACCTCCCTCTATGGGACCTCCCTCTATGGGACCTCCCTCTATGGGCCCTCCAAGAGGTCCTCCTAGTAGTGTAGCTTCACCGGGTGCATTCCAACCTCCTACGTCTATGCAGCCTCCCCAGATGATGCAGCCTCCGCCTGTATCACAACCCCCAACTAGCCAGATGGGAAGTATGTCTTTGCAAAACAACCAACCGCCTAAAGCTCCTTCTCCTGCAGCGAACCTGTTTAGTTCGGCTCCTGCTGCTAACAACTCTTTCTTTGACAACCAAGCCCCTAGTGGTCCTCCTAGTGGTAATGCAACACCCACTTCAGCTCCTTCTCCATTCAATGGAGTGCCTGCAACATCTGCTCCTGGACCATTTGGTGGTGCTCCTCCCACGTCCAGTCCATCGCCGTTTGGTGGTGCTCCAGCTCCTGTTTCCAACCCTGCCGCTGCGAACCCTTCACCGTTTAATTATGGACCACCATCTTCAGCTCCAGGACCTTTTGGTGCCGCACCACCAGCTTCAAATGCAAGTCCGTTTGGTGCCGCACCACCAGCTTCAAATGCAAGTCCTTTTGGTGCCGCACCACCAGCTTCAAATGCAAGTCCGTTTGGGGGCTTCCCACCAGCATCTAATAACGCAGGACCACCCACATCTAATCCATCTCCGTTCGGTGCTGCACCTCCATCCTCAGCTGCCTCACCCTTTGGACCACCATCACCGAACCCCGGACCTCCAAGACCAACTCAAGCATTAAACAATGCCCCATTTGCTCCCCCATCGTCAGGAGTGCCGTCTTTCCCGCCTAGGGCACAAGGACCACCTCAGCCATCACCTCCACAACTCAATCAGGGACCATTTGGACAACCTGCAACTTCTAATATGTCTCCGTTTGGAGGACCACCTGGACCCCCAACTTCAAATGGACCTTTCCAAGGATCACCCTCCTCCCAACCAAGTCCATTTGGTGCACCAACATCTCAGCCTCCTATGTCTGCTCCATCAGGATTCGGACCACCACCAAATAGACCAGCAATGGGCCCTCCGTCAACCAATGGTCCACCTACTAGTAACGCTTTTAACCAGCCACCTTCAAGCTTTTCACCTGGTCTACAAGGCTTTGGAAGCCAACCAGGCCCCCCTCAACCGTACTCCCAGCCTCCTGGACCTCCAGGCCCCTATGGAGCGCAACCTGGTCCTAATGGCCCTCCTATGGGAGGTCCTCCTATGGGTGGTCCTCCGACATCGAACTATGGTCCTCCTCCTGGATCAAACATAGGACCCCCTCCCATCATGAACGGTCCACCTCCATCAAGAGGCTATCCCGGGTCAACATCTTCAGGTCCCCGACGTCCTTACCCTTCCAATATTAGTTATGGTGTCAATTCACCAGCTACCCTCACCAATGCTCCAATTCCTCCTCCACCAGGATCGCAAGGACCAGGTCCTAGACACCCCTCAGCTCCTGTCATAGCAAACCCTGGTGCAAGTTTAGTAGGACAACTACCCTCCGTCCCGCAACCAGCCCCTCACCAACCTCCTGCTAAGAGCAGAATCGATCCTGACCTCATGCCTAATCCTCTTGATGTGCAGAAAGTAGATCAGGTAAAAGTCTGCAATAATTGTTAAAAAGTTAGTTTTTATCTCTGAAGACGGATTATACTTTTTGAGAGTCGATATGATTCTTTATTGCTACTTCAGATGATCTCTAACAATACTTTTCTCTCAGACTCAGTACGCAGGGAAGCACTGGGTCACATCAACTCCCGGAGTCCCCCCACTAATCTCAACTAACGTGCCTCTCCTTGATGCTGGCAACTGCACGCCTAGGTTCATACGGTCTGCTTTCTACAGCATTCCTACTACCAAGGAGCTGGCTAACCAGATCAGCATGCCTATCAGTGAGTATTACTTTTTTAACCTCTCTTAATTTAACCTTGGCTGTAGAGACCAATGAATTGCTTAAAATAATGTAAGGACTACGCGGCACCAGATGTAGCTACAGCAGCTGGTGGTTATTTAACTTAAGTGTAACCTGAGCAAGTTTTTTTAAAGCATTTTCATTGTGATTTGGTAAAATGAAGTTGAGAAAATCAGACATGTAACGCCTCCCTCTCCTCAGGTTTTGCGGTACAGCCTTGTGCCCGCCTTGGTCCTGGAGAAGCACCTCTAGCAGTTATTGACATGACCGTCCTTGGAGGACCACTGCGATGTCGCCGATGTAAAGCTTACATTAACCCCAATGTAAAGTTCGTTGACGGAGGACGGAAGTTTATCTGTAACTTGTGCTCTGTGGATACGGAGGTTCCACCAGAGTATTTCTGTAATCTGGATCACACGGGACGGCGAGCTGACACAGCAGATCGCCCGGAACTCAGCAGGGGCAGTTACGAGTTCCTGACAACAACTGATTACTGTAAGGGCAGCTCGTTCCCTCAATCTGCTGCCTACATCTTCGTTATTGATGTGACCTACGCTTCTTTCCAATCTGGCATGGTTCAGACCTTAACATCGAACATAGCGGCTGTGCTGAACAACCTTCCAAAGGAGGAGGGCCAAGAGAAGAGCCCGATCAGAATAGGATTTATAACTTACAACACTCAACTCCACTTCTACAACCTCAATCCTAACCTAGCTCAACCCGCTATGCTGGTAAATTATCTTCACTATTTATTATACCATCTACCTACGGTATGTATATTATACGATCTACCTACGGTATGTATATTCTATAAATTATACAAGCATATTATGTAATGTTAAGCCGTGGTTATGTTACTCAAAGTAAATAATCCAGCTGTTCGGCACGTCATTACTAAGGTTTATATAATTATATGGCGCTGATAATATTGAGGTTGTACAGTATGTCACCGTATTGTACACACTGCATCTTACACACATTCAGACAAGCAGGCTGTTTCATCTGTTATACTAGGTATCTGTACACGACACCCAAGCCACGCGGCGTAGACAAGTGTGGATGTTACAATGATTATTCAATGTTGTAATTATTGTTCTGATGTTTTGTTTGCAAAACAAAAGGGCCGGAATTAAGCTACAGTTTTTGTGAAAACATGACACGTATCATATAGCACAGACACAGTTCCATAAGTGCTAAAAGCTTATTGAACTTGAGTGGTCCAAGTCAGATCCATGTAAAACATCTTAAAATACTTGCGTGTGAGCACGCTTTTCATTGGTTCAGACAGACAAGGAAACACGTAACTCTGGAGCACGGTGTACACTCACGAGTAATGTATATTGTACACTGGTGAGCAGTATACACTGGTGAGCAGTATACACTGGTGAGCAGTATACACTATACACTGGGTACACCTCACACTTGTTATGGCAGGTTACTAGCCATGTACATAACGTGTAAATATGCAATATTAGTAATCATTAGGTGTAGTTCACAAGGACACCCAGTTTTGCCATGCAAGGTACATTGTACAGTGTACACTACATAGTAAGCACTAATAATGTGCTTACTAGTCACTGGACCCAACCTTACTTGCACGTATGCACAGCTAGGTCAGTAAAGTAATAACCCAATTAGGGGCTGGAGATCAAATTATTTTACATACACTGTTGGGAAATGATGAGATTATGTGTACACGGAACCGACACTCACGTATTATCTCCGAATTGTTAACGTGGCACGACTACATATTCTGCCAGCTCATTCCCTCATACGCAATCAAATACCGGGCATACCGCGATATTATAGACAACATAAAACACTACTTTAAGGTACTAATAGTTAAGGTACTAATAGTTGAGTTACCTACAATTACCCAATATTACACGCTATGTAATGTTACTTCTGTAGATGTTTGGTTTCTAGTGGGATGTTTCAATTTCAATGTTTAATCAAAAGTGAGCGATTGTCATGACGTATCATCTGATACGTGGCAGAATTTACTGAATGAGCAGGATAATAATATGAGACGTAACGTAATACCACATAGAACTCACATCAGGTTTATATAATACACTGCTCCAGGGCTGTAGTAGTAGATGTGTACTACTGTAGAATGTAGATAGTTAACTTTATACTTGCTGGGGCTGCACTATAGTTCATAGAAACATGTTATGTATGTATACTGTTAACAAGCAATGTATTTCCTTTACATGGTATGAACCACAATTAAATGGTAATAATGGTCGGTAAAAACTTCCTAATTTCAATCTTGCTTTGTATAGCAGGATTGTGATGGGAGGTGGACACCTTTCTAAAACAGTGACGCAACACTTACGTCAGTGTTAGTTTCTTTCCTTCATATGATATGCCCTTATAAGATCAACATTGGTGATTGTGACCTGTGTCTTTCCCCGGATACCTTAAATTACATTACAAACAAACAGATTGGGATCTGTGGGACACGGTAAATTGAGGTACGGTGTGAGTTTTGACGGTAGTTAAAACTGTGTGTGAACGAAATATTTTGTGTCTACGTTGAAATATGATACCAAGCTTAACAAATGACCCTCAATACTGTAAAACACAAGACACAGTGTGACACTAATTACCTAATCGTCAGACTCACATTATCAGGGTACAACATGTACTATTATAATTATAATGAGTGATGATGACGTCACACTAATGACGTCACCCTCCCAGGTACAACCAGACATGTCGGAAGTGTTTGTTCCCATGACAGACGGGTTCCTGGTGACAGTAGAAGAAGCTCAGACCCACCTCAAGACACTGATGGAGCTGATACCTACTCTCCACAGTGCGGAGAAGAAAGCGGAGAGTGTCATGTTGCCTGCTATTCAGGCGGGGTGTGCTGCTCTCAAGGCCGCTAACAGGCCCGGGAAAATTATCATGTTCCACAGTTCGCTGCCAGTTGCACCAGGACCTGGACAGTTGAAGAACAGAGAGGATAAAAAGTTACTTAATACTGATAAGGTGAGAGTTTAGTTCGATATTTGTAATGATTTGGTGACTGGTTCATTTTGAAATTAATATATTATACACCAATATATTATAACCAGTAATGTTTAATATTTACAAATGTAGGTTATCAAGTCTTATTCATATATTTACACATCACATTCAATACTCGGTGTCTTCATAATATTACATAGAACAGTGAGAAAACTGCCATCATATTTGATCGATGTCATTGGGTTCAAACTCCAATATCGAGTACACCCCTCTACTTCTTAGGTAAAGGTTAGCAAATTGATGCTTCATGAGCAGATATTGTCTGTCAGTTCTCTGCTCTGTTCCGTCTCACCACATTTCACATCCTCCATTTTATGTGATTGATTATGTTTCATATTATCTTCCTGCTGAGGGGATGGGTCGTATTTTGAACAAATATTCTCTGTTGAAGGGTTTTGGGCAGGAAGGGATGTCTCCACAGAGAGGGTCGTCTCCACATGGATGGATGTCTCCACAGAGAGGGGTGTCTCTTCTTCTTTCTCCTCGTTTACGAGAGACAGTTGTCTACTGTGGGTTCTGTTGTGTTGCTTCAAGTGATCCTTTCTTCCAAACTTCTTAAAACACTGAGAAAATAAGATATGAAAGTACTTTCATAGATATGTCGTGTATATGTATAATGTATATTGTATATAATACAATATACACGGTCCATTTTTACAATTTTATGGAAAAGCGTGCCGAAGAAGGTTTTTGATCTAGCATCCCCCTAATTCTTAGTTACTTACCTTGTTGCACTGGTAAGGTTTAAGACCAAGGTGTATTTTCTCATGACGTGTTCTCTCCTCATTCCTCCCAAAAGTCTTGTTACAGCTAGGGTAGGAGCACTGAACTCGTCTCATCACTCCCTGGGGCACATATTTCAGATTACTAAGCGGCACATAATATTATATTATTGTATTAAATTAGCAACACTAAACGTGTCTGTTATAGAGTTGCCAATGTATTAGACTCTGGTCTGATGAGCTTATAATAGAACCTGCCTGTCACCCTAATCTCTAGTTATTACACATCTCTTCTCAACAACTTTATAACATTATAAAGAACAAACTTTAGGACATTATAAAGAACATTATAAAGAACAAACACAAGTTTCTCACCCATTTTCCTTGCGTAGCCCCTCGTCTCCTGTCAGCTCGATGTATAGCACTAAATCTGTTGTGTACTCCAGAATTGAGCCGGCCATTAAACCCACTGATACGGCTGTGAAGCTGCCAGGGTAGCGTGTAGCCCGAGCACCACTGGTCCAATAAACTCCTCTCGTACATGAGCGAGTAGTAGCTGTACCACGGGTCCCTTATCAGTCCCCGCTGATTGGCTGTCACCATGTCACGTGATGTCAAACCAAGGCTGTGATTGGACGGTTTCCTGTCGTGTTGGAAGACGATTCTAGGAGCAAAGATGCGAGCCATGGTGTGGTCAACTGAGGGAAAACAGCGACTAGAGAAAAGTTGTGAGAAGAAAAGTGGCGAGGTCTTGTGATTGAGACCTAACGTGCCTTGTTCCCTCGTATCTATTGCCCTGACCTTGCCTACTGTTCACAGCCTGACGGCCTTAATCTGCTCAGCCAATCACAACTCTCCTAGGGTTTTATCCACCAATCAGATCTATCAGTTTCCGTCACGTGACGCTGGGAAGGTTTAATAAATTTGCCCTGTGGGAGGTAGATTCGAGGGGGTAAAGTACTTGTTAACGTGACCAAACATATCCCTCACCCTGATTGGTTACATCATGTCACCTGGCTGAATGCTAGTCTACCCATTGGTCAGTTTCCCACCTTGATACGTGATGGCGAAGGTGTGCAGGGAGGGAGAGGCTAGTTACAGATAAAAGAGGCTTGAAAATGAATTGTTTTTCTCTCAAAGTTAGGTGGTGAGCCAATCGTGGGACTTCATGAAATCCTCCTAATTTCAATGATCTGTTCGCTGAAATAATTCCGTTCAGCCTGGACGGAACTCCACCTCAATATGCTAGTCTCCCTAGTCTCATTTATCATGCAACAATTACACCATGCTCCGAAAGATGATTATACCACTGATTCCCAAGAATAACAACCATTCTCCCTTGTCAGGAAGCAACTCTGTTAGTACCTGCGGATCCAATATTCGAGAAGACTGCCCGGGAGTGCGTGGATGCAGGAGTTGGGGTGGACATGTTCCTCTTCCCGCACGCGTACGTTGACGTGGCCAGTATGGGTAAGATAGCTACGGATACTGGTGGGGTTATTCAGAGATTCCCTATGTTTAGGGCTGATGTGGACGGAGAGCGACTAATCCAGGTTAGAAACTATTTGATATTATTTATAAATGTATGGTCTGTTGTTGTTCATTATGTTATAGAATTTCATTTTAAGTTGACTTATACCTGTGATGATGTCCGGAAGCTGCAATTTTAACCACACTCTGGATATAAGCTGTCGTGGCTCAATGCCACGTGACTGATTTAAACCAATCAGATGCCTTGTTTTTGTTACGCTTTCCACGGATCGCACAGTAAACTGTCTGATAGTGTACTGAACTTTTACATTATAGGATGTAAATGTTAAGGGATCGTGTGCAGTGACAGCTCGCACAGCTTCCAATCGAAAGGTTGTCATAAGTTCTAAATTGTAAAACACATTTCTTCAGGATCTGGCAATGCACATTGCTGAGCCGTGCGTGTTCGACACAGTGCTGCGCATGCGCACAAACGCAGGCGTCAGACCTGTCGAGTTCTGCGGTAACATGATGATGCAGAACGCAACTGATATGGAGATAGCTGTTATCAAACCGAACTCTTGTATTACTATTGAGATTAAACACGACGACAAACTTAGTGAGGACTTCCAGGCCTACGTCCAGGTAAATAATCTTATAGTTTTTAGTTTCTTACTCTATTGGTGATTTGTTAAGATAATGTGCAGCTGCTTGGCGTTTGTTTCTCGAATTTTCTTCCGGCGCTTTTTGGTACCCTCTTAGTCTGATTATTCCTTATTCGGGTAATATCTTAACCCTACCTATAGACTCATTATATAATAAGGCTGTAGAACGTTGAACTCTGCCAAATCCTGCTGTAACAATCTTGATAACATGTCATTGCAAATTCATTTAGGATGACAGTAAATTTATTAACTAAACTTCAAAAGAATCATATTTATGACACGTGACAAGACCACTGATCACGTGACAACAGGTAGCTCTACTCTACACAAGCATGTCGGGGGTACGTAAACTGAGGCTGCACAACTTGGCACTTCCTGTTTCCAGCAATCTAGCCGACCTTTACAAGTCATGTGACATGGACACTGTCGTGAACTCTCTTACTAAAGAGTTCGGTAAAGCTCTCGTCAGTAGCCACTCCTACAAAAACGTGAGTTTATTTTAGGAACTTAAAGGGAATAAGCGTATCTGTATTATTAGTAAGCTCGTGTTTTATGTATTTTAGTTTTAACCTTAAACGCATCATTCAGCAGAATTATATAAAACTTCGTAACGCCGCACTATATACAGCTATATATACACTATATACACTATATCTGCTACACTGATATAGCTCTATAATAGTGTATAACAATCATTGGTCACTGACTAAATGTGGTGCTTGTTGCTAACTCCCTTCTCTCAGCTTAAAGAGCAGCTGCTGCAGCGAGTTAGCAACAGTTTGGCTTGTTACAGACAGAACTGTGCTGCTCCCTCTCAACCTGGACAACTCATACTGCCAGAAACTCTCAAACTACTTCCTCTTTATTCTCACTGTCTCTTGAGATCTCCTGCTCTTATGCCTTCTGTTGAGGTAAGACACGTGTGGGTAGTGTGTAGTACGGACCTTGCTTTCTCAGCTCATGCAGCTCACATTTGAAATAGGGACTTGAGACATCTAGATGGGCACACTTATATTTATTGTTTGAGAACATTTTGTGAACATTAACATTAATTAAGGTGTACTGTTAGTGCTATATAAAGTGGTACTCAGTGAGGTCTTTTTTGGACAAGGTTTCTTTTTTAAGTGTGACAGGAATATTTTCATGGATTATTAATACTCTGTACTTACGTGAACAGCTCATATTGTCTTTATTTTACAGACAGGTGGAAAATGTTTTTTGCCCGTTCTATTCTCACCGCTTTTTTTACAGGTATCGTTTGATGAGAAGAGTAATCTGTTACAACGACTAGCAATGATGACTGTCGAGGAAACAGAGTTGTTCCTGTACCCCAGATTATACAAGTAAGATAACAGTAAAACTAGTTTATTAAAAGGTTTCTCGTTCTGAAGAAAAGTGTGGAAGGTTCTGGGTTAGGGCAGATGGTGTGAAATTAAATCCTTTAAGGTATAATTTATTAGTGAAGCCACTGTAAATTACGAGGATTGTGACAGATGTTACTGTTGCACTGTTACCTAATATTATCTAGATAATTAACATGCCCATTTCCTCTCCAGCTTGAACACTTCCACACTGGGTAACGAAGGAATGCCACCTATTATCCGCTCTTCCTACGATCGTATCCGTGAATCTGGAGCTCACCTTCTCGACAACGGATTAGTCCTCATTCTGTGGGTTGGAGCCAACACTCCCTCCAAGTGGTTACAAGAGGTGATGGGTGTTACAGTCCTGGATCAGGTGGATCCAACTGTTGGGAACTTGCAACCCTTCGATAACCCTACCTCCATTCGAATACGAGGTATTATCGATGAGATTAGGGTTAAAAGGAAGCAACATCTGCGGTTAAATGTTGTCCGGCAGAAGGATAAGACCGAACATATATTCATGCAATTTTTGGTGGAAGATAAAACTGAGCTGGGGATGAATTATACTGATTTCTTATGTTCGGTTCACAGGGAGATTAGAAATATTTTAAGCTAGAATTTTGTTTAATCGACAATATCTGCTGTTCCGTTGTTGATACACACAGACAAACTTTGAATCGTGTTTTTGTTCAAAGTAAATTGAGAGGTGAACTGTAAAAATGAGATCTATCCGAGAAGTCTAAAGTTAGCGTTAAACCCAGACCTGTACAAAAGAATCTGTAGAGTTGTGTACCAGATTAGTTGAGGTGATTAGATGTTAAAATGAATATTGATTTTTCTGTAATTTAGATAATTATATGATTAAAAAGTTGGTGATACGGGATTTCAACTCTTAATTTAGGCTAATATAACGTGACGTTTTATATTTTTCGTCCCGTATCACCAACCCGGTTAGTGTAGTTGGGTCACAAAAGTTTTTATTGCTTTTAACATTAATGTCTGAAAGTAACTTTACCTTATAACAGTTCATAAAAGCTTTGAAGCATTTGATTGCAGGAATAATTTGCGATTAAAGAGTATTGATTACTTAAAATGCTTTTGTATATGACCACTCTGGGAAAGTTTCAGATTTTCTTTGTTGATGTAAGAATAATCTTTCGCCATAACAAATTGATGGTTCAATTAAAGTGTAAATTTGTTCAACTGCTAGAAAAATACATAAAATGGAATTGTTGCCGTGATTTGAAACTAGTTCTTACTTTTTGGGTGTTGCACAACACGTAGATCTTGCAGCGTCACACACCTTGATTTGTAAACTTGTTGTAGCGCGCGGAACGTTTTGAAATATTGAAAGTTCAGATGCTACCAGCAATTTGCGCTTTTCGTGGCTGCACTGCAGCGCACTGCCCAACCGAACGCGCGCTACGCGTATTTTGTTATAATAAATTAATGGCTATCATAAATGCTATCAATATCTGCAACGTAGCCACTAGCCAATGTAATAATTATCCTATTATGGACCTGGAAACTGTGTGATTGCAAAATGTATTCCAATATAAATGAAATAATTCTGTCGGACCCGGTATTCCGTGGACCAAGAATTAGTGTCACCAATCATAGGTGATAGGCAGTAACCTTACCTGGGGACCTCAGGCTATTATGTTCATAAACATGGATGATAATTAATCACTCTACACTCGACTGTCACGTGACTTTTTCAACCCGTTCTCTAGCTGGTCCTGAACGACTATTCGAAACCTTAACCCTCTTATCTTATCCCAACCCTAACCCTAACCCGATCCTTAACAAAAGCATATGCTGAAACCCTAACCCTAACGAGAAATTAGACTAACTTCCTTATACGGTCATATCACGTGATCGAGACAGTTTTTCGCCTATATCTCGTCAGGGGAGCATTTTAACCCTATGTCATGGGGGGTGATTCGGAATCAGCGTCCGAAAATACATCGATTGAAGTTGGTTTCAACTGTCGGGGGCCCTTTTAGAACAATCTCGAAGATCGACTGTAGAGTGATTTAGTACGCTCGCATAAACATAGAGATTCGGCGGAATGACAGGCGCGCTGAGCGCGGCCCAGTAAGCAGTAACCCAGAGGCTTCTGATCTCTGATACTGCCGGACTGGGCCTACCGCCTGGGTCAAACTTTCTGACTACCAACTATTGCTAATACCATTAATACTTAGTACTTAAATTTAAGGATGCATGTAGTATGAACAACAAACAAAATGAAGTCACAAATTGTATTACTATTCACTATTGTAATTGTATACTGAGCGGCGCTGATCAGCCTGCACTGTCATTCCGCCTAATTTCTATGTTTATTATAGCCTGGGGTCCTCAGGTAAAAATGTCGCTCCTACTTAATCGCTTGACGAATGTTACTCGTCTTAATTTCTTCGAAGTAGCGCACGCCGCTTTCTTCTCGAAATGGCAAGTGCTACGAAGTAGCGCGCGCCTGGCCAGACCATTAACAATGGTCAACTGTCAACTAAATCGCTCGCCCAAATTTTACGAAAATTCTTTTGAAAAGGCTCTTTGGGTATGAATGATGAAAGTAATCTAAATCGGTGTATTTTCGGACAATGATTCCGAATCACCCCCATGACGTAGGGTTAAAATGCTACCTGGAGAGATATGGGCAAAAAACCGTTCGCGCGTTTTGTGTTTTGGTCACGTGACAGGCTAGTAAAATACGAATTCGATTGTTTATAGGACAGAGGACTCTGGTTAGGGTTAGGGTTGTGGTAAGAGTTATTGTTAGCTTCGGGGTTATGGTTAGGGTTGGGATTAGGGTTTATGTTAAACCGTTTTGTACGGCTGCAAAACCATAAAAACCAAAGTCACGTTAAATTTTTGGGCGAGTGAATTAGTAAGAGCCCCCAATTTCACAACATTAATAAAATATGTACAGTACTGAGCACATGTATTTCAAGGATTTCAAGGATTTCAAGGATTTCAAGGATTTCAAGGATTTCAAAGGATTTCAAAATAAAATGATCATTACAATAAACATTGTGTCGGATCATGTATAACCTATTTTAATCGCCACCCAGAGTTCAAGTTCTGCATGTGTGCAGTAAATGTACTTTTTTGGTCATGGTACCAGATATTGGATATGGAATGCGAAATTTATCAAAGCAAATCCGATCACAACGTCTTACGTCAACTTCAAGCGCCAAATTTTTAATTTGAAATTTAATTGACAAATTATAGCACGTCTTACTGGGCGGCGCTCAGCCTGTCATTCCGCCGAATCTCTATTATGTTTATGAACATAATAGCCTGAGGTCCCCAGGTAGAGCACGTCGTGATCCCCTATCTCAACCCCCGTCCCCCATTATCATACGGGCGCAGTTTATATCTCCGCCAAAAGCACACTCCCCAAATTGCGCGCATTGCTGTAACTTCTTTCAAACTTCATTGTTCATGAATCGAGGAAAATTATTTTGCAATGTATTCAGAGTCAATATTAATAATATATGCACTTATACAAATTACTTGAAATACTTTTGAAAGAGAATAACAAGCTCAAAACGCTACTGACGTATTTCTCCATAAAAAGCACAATAGTGTGAAATGCTTTTGTCGAGGTGCCTATAGCTCAAAAGTGATCTTAAACGATTCCCCGTTTAATTTTGGTAGAAGAACGCCAACTTAGTGCACAACCAAAAAAGTTATAGACATATTTCATATATTCATTATATATTTCATATATATTTCATACGTATCAAATTGAATGTGCCTTTGGCGGAAATATAACGTGCGCCTTGTCATATAATACGTTGTATGACCCGCCGCACACTCGTGCGCGACGGGCCATACAACGTATTATGACGTATATAATATGACAATGTATAAGCCATTTAATTACATAACAAGTAATAACAAATAACAAGTTTTATTATAGTTTACAGTTTTGTTACATTCGCGCCGCGCAAATAGCCAAAATGTCATCCTTAAAATTGCTTCAAAAATCGAGCGCGTATTATTATTCACGTTTTCAAAACATTGGCTTCTCACGATATTGCCAATTATTTTGTAGTACCCTCATTCACGTTCACAAGTCATATGGATGGACATGCAGAAGAATGTCGATGGATCAGACGCAGACAAGTACTATATTATTGAGCAGAAGAATCTTGTGCAGCTCCTTAAACTTAGTATCAAGAATTTCATAGATTTTGCCTTATCGTTAACTTCTGGCTTGGAGGAGGAGGAAGGAAACCTTTATCAACTCTTCGTTGTATTAGAACAGGTATGTTAATTTATCTGTGTACTGCACTCTATGACTAAAGAGTCACATCGACAAAATAGTGAAAGCTTTACCTTGCCGGTATCCGGGGTAGATGTATTTGCTATTCTTGTAACCTTCGGATTCTTGACGCACGAGTCATCGTTTTTGGCGAAACTAAAATAGAACTTTGGTCCACGCTCAGTTATTTGATTAAACGACTTGTAGAATGAAACGTATACTTCCCAGATTTTGAAGCACGGCCTAAAAGAGAAGAATGGACTCTTCATCGCTAGAACAGACTTCTTCAACGTTATTCAGATAGTATCCAAAGATTTAGAATGGACCAAGGATTTGTTAGAGAGTATCACCAATATGTCCTTTCTCAGGTAAGGATTTTAACCAGTTATAAAGAGTCATATATTATACTATTTTGTCATACAGTCCATCTTTCATATTTTATCGTAAATCGTAAATTAATATTTAACAATGCAATTGTTTCAGGACCTTCACAGGTCGGGGAAGGGCATTTTTGAGACTGACAATGATGCAAAAAAAGACGCACATAATGTTTGCAGAGATTTCAAACAACCTTGATAAAGTACGGTATGTCCATTCAATCAGCTGAATACCTTTCCAATGTCTTTATCTTGTTTATAGGCAAAAATGAACCACAACAACAAGAATCAGATTATAGATTTAAAGGTTCATTCAGACTTCAGTAACATTTAAATACCATAACAGGGCACTATATCATCCTCACGCTCTTCTGCTGGCTGAAGAAGCTCACATAATATCTGGTCTTCTTGTTGGTTTAAATGTGATAGACTGTAATCTCTGTTTGAGAGATAGAGATCTCGACAGTCTTCCTCAGGTTAGATTGCTCACAATACTGTTCGCTTCCAATAATAACTTGTGCTAGAACCAACCTGGACACTTCGGTCGAAAAGGAAGTATTCACTCTTATAAAAACTAAAATCAAGTAACAAAACATGGGTTAGTCATCCCATTATTTGCTTTGGCTCTTGATTCGCTTGTTTTATCAGATTTAATGATCCCCTAAAATGTATAACAGGTAGTACAACTGTCCCGGTATCTGAAAGATGGTAACTATCTGGACACCCCAACACCTCCACCCTCCCCTCTACTTGACACTCACAAGCAGGATTATCAGAATATTCTAGAGCAAAAGAGTTACGTCGAGGAAATCAATGAGAAACTCAGGTCAGTCGAATTTTTTCCTTTTCACCCTTTTGAAAAAAGGCAATAGTGAAAGGTTACAAATGGACGTTTTTGCAGAAAAACGTGGATTTTGGAGATAGCGGTAGGTGGGTCAAATATATGTCGTGTTCCTTACTTGCTTGCTTCCGTTCGTTACCATGTCAACTTGCCGCGCGCACGCGCACGGGGATTGCTTGCGGAGATGTGGTGTATAGCTAGTCTGTGGTCAATGAATGCGCGGCACGAGCGTATTTTAATGTATACTAGTAATGTATAGTATTTTGTAATAAGCCCAACTTGAATGTGGCACGCGTAGTCTATACTGATGTTTCAATATTATTATTATAAGGTGAGCTGATTAGAGCTTATATTAATAGTTATAGTGAAATGGAAATCTAGCGTCCGCCAAAACGAAACAACGGTGAACGGGCGCAATTCTTGTTACGGCTTACAATATGCAGCAACTTAAATAAATTAGGATTGATTACAAATATTGTGCATAAGTTTTTGCTTACACTCGTTCGGCGATTAGCCCAAATTTACCTGATTACTTCGTCAAGAATCCTAATGAACCAGGATTTTATTATAAAAACTTCTAGCCCTTAGTATATACTGAATACCGCATTACATAGGATGGATTTTCTTGTGGTCGATAAGAAGAGCAAGATGTTTCAGCAGGATAACGACATGCTCATGAAAGAGGTAGTTTGATTTTTCAGCTATTCTGTTGTTTGAACTTGAAAGTTGACACCACAATGTATTGATAAATATTGTACGTTGAACTGTATTATGTACACAGATAAAGATGGAATTGTAATATGAGAGGTATGGAACTTGCAGCTGAATAATTCATATCACATACAGACTATGTGACCTCCAGCGGTGATTATTAATGTCGCAACCCCCAGGTTCAAAATATGAAGTCAAGAATCGAGGAGCTAACTTCTGAGCGAGATTGTATGAGACAGAAAATGGATACAAGTGAAAATACTTATCAAAGAAGAATGGAGGTAAGTTATCATTCAAAATACTTAAAACATTGGATTAAATGTATTAGCTTGCTTGCTGTTAACTCTATCCATTATTATAGATTTTAACGATATGTAAATTAATCAAACAATGAATAATATAATATAAATAACAGTGTCTCGTTGTCAGGTAGAAAAGGCTGACATTGCTGTAGAGCGAGAAACATACGAAGCCTCAAGACAGGGTCTGAATGAGCTTTACTTGCTTGCAAAGGAGGAGTTAGTGAAAACTAACAACAAGGTCACTGATTTAGAGAGAGATATTGAAATAGAGAGACGCATCAAGGTCAGTCTTTAAAGTTGTTCAGTCTGACTTTGGTACTTTAATCTTTTCTTGTACTTTTAATATTCAAAATGTTTTTCCAACTTTTTGATTTGATATTTCAAACTTTAGAGTGATTTGGAGAAGGCTAATGGGTTGTTAGACAAGGAGTTGTTAGATAAGGAGGACACGATAGAGGCACTGCGTAAACAGTGCTCTGATGTTAAGAAACTTAACCTCAGTATGCTTAATAAAGTTCAGGTATGATACATGTCAAGCTCTGTTGTATTGAACTACTAACATGAAACTTCATGCTCCATAATATTTATTCTCTATACTTAAACTCTTCTCTTAATTTAACCAATTTGCACAGTACACTACCTTAAATTTCCAAGTTAGATTCCTACTCTCTCAGGAATCAGACAAGAAGTTGGCAGAAAGGAATGTTTCACTGAAGGACATGGAGTCGCGAACCCACCAGTCCTCGTCGGAGATGACTGATCTTGTTAACAGGTATATTCCGCGAAGTGTTCATCAGAAGGTTCCAGCCCACATCTATCATTTAGTTACGATCACGTATTTATCTTGCTTGGACATGTGTAATTCAATAAGTCGTAAGTTTCCTTCTCTGTTATTTCAGAATAAATTTGCTGAAAAAACACGAAAAATTATAGAAATCTAATTTGATTTATTCACTCATAGCCATGGCATATAATGTCCCTGTTATAATATAAGTTCGAACTTCAAAAACGCTGTTCTAGCATTCGGTAATTTAATTTTTCAATGGTTTGAATTATCATTGCTCTTTAGAACCAAGGAACTAGATATAGAAAATCAAGATCTCAAGAAAGAGCTTGACGATTACAAAAAGAAGTGCTACGAGATGGAAACGACATTGTAAGTTGCTATTCATTTACAGCCTTTTGCTGTTGTATCAAGTCAACTCATGTCGTAGCCCACATCCAGAAAGACGGCAGATTGGCAGATAATTTGCGAGGAAACTTTGGATTTTGGAGGAATTTTTTTGCCAAAGAGGAAATGTATAGAAGACCTGACCTTTTTTAGGGTACAGGTAAAGTTTTAGGGGGGGAGGGGGTTACATTGAACTGTGAGGAAATTTAAAACTTTCTGGATGCGGGACTCATAGACAAATGATCTATACATAATAAACATATATTTATATGTATAAGACATTATAAATAATTAACATCCAAGTTCTCTTTACCTTAAAATATTACCGTTCACGATACGATGTTGCTTTGTAAAGTAGCCATTATTATGACGTGACCGCTATTGTCCTGTTTTAAACTGTTAGTTATCTTCTGAACAGCTACACACAGCTACACACAGCTACACACACACACACACACACACACACACACACATCTGAACCCTAACAAAAGGTTGCACACTACAGGGATACAGCAGTTACGGGGTGCAGTGTTGAGAAGGAATGGAGGGAGAACCTCCAGAAACAAAATGTAACAAACAGGGAGGATATAGCGAGATTGCGTACGGAGGTGACCCACGTGACCGAGTTGAAGAGTGCTCTGAAACAGTTACAGAGGGAAAATGATGATCTGAGACGCAGCTGTTCTGAACAGGAACAGGTCAGTGAGCTTGCTTGGTTACGTTGTTATCTCATAGTAATAGGGCCAGGAATTGAACGGTCATTTATTCTTCGAGAATGTGACTTGAAGTTGAAAAGGAATTAATGGGAAACACGGTACATTGTAAGTCGTAAGATCAGATGAATTAATATTCAGTGAGTAATTTATATCATTACGTAGGCGCTGGTAGAATTAGGAGACCACCTAAGCAAATCGAAAGTTAAAGCGGAAGAACTTAAACACGATGTTGAGATGACTAAAGAGAACAAATGGGTGTCTGACAAAGAACAAGTCAGCTGTCAGCAGTGCAAGAAAAACTTCAGCGTTTCTAGGCGACGGGTAAGATACAATATTATATTATGTAGATTATGTTTGTATACTAAGATTTACCTTAAAATAGTGAACAAGAAAATCTAGCAAGATCTTCTGTATCATTTATCAACACTCAGAATTTCAGACTTTCTCAATCCCAAATATTTCACAGGCCACCAGCCACCTATTGGTATCCGAGAATTGTGTCTTTTAAATTTAATCTAAAAAGATTTGATAATAAATTGAGGTATATTAACCACGTCTCACTCTAACTTGAGAATCTCACAGCACCACTGTCGTAACTGTGGAGGTATATTCTGTCACCAGTGTTCTGACAACACCATGCCCCTCCCCTCCTCCTCCCGTCCTCTCAGAGTCTGTGACAGTTGTGCGGATCTGCTGTTACAACGCAGCGTCGTCCTCGCCACTTAGACAAATGCTTGTTAGAATTAGGCTACAGGGTTTAATGTGCAGTGTTTGTATTATCTTCAGGGAACAGTTGGATGGTTTGCTTGTGAGAAAATAGTATAGGATTTCTTGTTGAAGGACGAAGCTTCAAGCTGCCAGTTTCTTGAGATTTTGAAAGTGTGAAGATGGTTTGTTAATTTTGATTAACATAAATCTGGGTCGAGCGCTGTTTACAATAGAATATGTAATGTTGTGTGTTGCTCTGGTTACAATAGAATATGTAATGTGTTGCAGCTGGTATTGTACACTTGATTTACTGATATTTTTACTTTTCAATTTTAATTATTTTTGGGGTTGATTTTCCTAAATCTAAACGTATTAACTGTGTTAAATGATTAATGCGTGGCGTGTTGTGTTTATGCTATCCATCCATGCATAGCTTAAATCAATCTTGTGTTTTATAAGAAAGTAGAAATAATAACTGGGCACATTGTTTTCTTACCTAACTATGCAGTATGCATTTAGTAGACGTGCATTAATAAAAATACCACAATTTGTTGTAAAATTTACCATATTAGTTATTAGGGTCTTAGTATATATTGTATAACCTTTATTTGTTACGTAGCATAATTTAGGTTAAGCAGTACACAACTTGTATCAATTAAATGTTTCACTTTGTAAACTGGTACTGAACTAAAGAAGAGTTAAATTAATGACTTTTGATTTTGTATATATAGTGTTTTGATGTGGAATTGTCAAATATACAGTATATAGATTGTTTTGAATGTCTGAACTCACTTTACTCATAGATTGGAATTTTGATCAGAATAATTCCGAACATAATTTGATCGATTATGTTGAAGTAATATATAATAAGTTAATGTTATAGTTGGAATGGTTGATATAAATTGGGATATTCCATAATAGTATGATCAGTCAATGTCTGTCGCTTAATGATAATTAGTTTTATATAGCATGCAAGGTGTATTCGACCTGGACGTGATAGGTAAAGAGGATCTAGTCAGCGCAAACAGCAAAATAACTGAGCTGCAGAAAAATGTTGAGGCAGAAAGAAAGATAAGGGTTAGAAAAATGTCATGTCAACGAGATCAGATGACCAATACCATCGTAAAATGTAAATAGTTGCTTGGTGTGGTTGATTTTGTTTGAAGAAATTTCGTCAGATTTTCGATAAAAGAATAAAGATTAACATCTTCAAATCACAGTTTTTTTAAATTCATCGTTTTTTGTGAATGGTTGACTGATTTACTAATTATAATTATTGTTTTTAATTTCAGATTGATGTGGAAACAACGAACAGTTCACTAGTCTTCAAGTTAGTATGTCGTAAAAATAACAGCTCTTCTTATCCCGTAAGTTATCTAAGTTACCCAAGTTAAGTGTTTGCACAATAACTGGTTTGACGGTATATTCGCCGCCATTCCTTCCTGTAGCGATCAACCAAATCCTCGAATCAACGTCGCGTGTCAAAAAATATAGCTCACCTCCCCCAATAATAATATGAAAATATCTCGACTGTTTAATGATCAAATTTTAATGGCTCATATTATCTCTAAGGACTGAAGAGTTGGTATTTGAGAACGAGAATTTGAAGGAGGAGCTAGAAGAAAACAAAAGCAAATGCCAAGAAACTTACAGTTACTTGTAAGTGCATCTATTTTAGATAATTTCCTTGTTATTCATAAACTTACATGTATAGACTATATAATGTAGTTCGTATAAACAGGAAAAAGGCGACATTTTACGTTGTTCTCTTGTCTGACAAGGTCACAGGGATTAATATATTGAATTTTACTCGACAGGGAGGAGATAGCGAGGTTGCGTGCAGAGGTGAGTGCTATGAAACAGTTACAGAGGGAAAATTATGATCTGCGACGCAAGTGTTCTGAACAGGAACAGGTCAGGGTCGGGAGCGTCAATTATTTTCCGAGATTGTAAATTGAAAAAGAGTTCACCGGACTGCATTTATTTAAATTAGGAGCACTTAAATGAAAAACATGGTATATTGTAAGATCAGATGAATTCATATTCACGATAGATCCAGTAATTAATATCATTACTTAGGCGCTGGTAGAATTAGGAGACCACCTAAGCAAATCGAAAGTTAAAGCGGAAGAACTTAAACACCATGTTGAGATGACTATAGAGAACAAATGGGTGTCTGACAAAGATCAAGTCAGCTGTCAGCAGTGCCATGAAAACTTCAGTGTTTCTAGGCGACGGGTAAGTACAATTTAATATTATGTAGATTATGTTTGTATACTAAGATTTACCTTAAAATAGCGAACAAGAAAATCTAGCAAGATCTTCTGTATCATTTATCAACACTCAGAATTTCAGACTTTCTCAATCTCAAATATTTCACAGGCCACCAGCCACCTATTGGTATCCGAGAATTGTGTCTTTTAAATTTAATCTAAAAAGATTAGATAATAAATTGAGGTATATTAACCACGTCTGACTCTAACTTGAGAATCTCACAGCACCACTGTCGTAACTGTGGAGGTATATTCTGTCACCAGTGTTCTGACAACACCATGCCCCTCCCCTCCTCCTCCCGTCCTCTCAGAGTCTGTGACAATTGTGCGGATCTGCTGTTACAACGCAGCGTCGTCCTCGCCACTTATGTGGTTTTGCCAATACCATGACTAGGCTACAGGGTTAGATGTGCCTGTGTAAATTAAATGTTTCACTTTGTAAACTGGTACTGGAGTCTGGACTAAAGAAGAGCTTGAGTAACGACTTTTGATTTTGTATATTATAGTTTCTTGGTGTGGAATTGTGAAATATACAGCAATATACAGCATATATACAGCATCCCACATCCAGAAAGCTCGCGAATTTTCGACTTTTGCAATGTCGGCTAGTACGGCGAGTAGAGCAAGACAGTTCTTAAGCATTTGAAGCTATGAAAATTCTTTGACGATTTCGCCCACGCAGAAGACCTACAAGCAATTTGGCAATAGAGATCATTTTCAAACACAGTTTCAAGAACGATTCAAAGAACTGTTAGTTTTTTCCTCTTCGATTCGTCAACAATTTTGGATTGTTTTTTGAAAATTTCCTCTTTACTCCAGATTATCTGCCGATCTGCTATGTTTCTGGATGTGGGTAGTACAGCATATAGATTGGTTTAACAGTTTGAATTCGCTTGGGCTTTATTTCGATTGCATGTATTCTGGATTTAATTCTATTGTTAATGTTGTTAGGACTAACTTTAGAATGACCATGTTTAAGTGTGAAAAAGCTTCCTAGTTCATGCAACGAACAGAGTGAATAAAAATGAATATTCTCCTGAAATTGCCTGGATTGAGCGAGCATGGGCAGTAATGGCGTTTGTGAACATGCTGGAGCCACCATTTCGAGAATCCAGCTCAAGCCAGGCAATTTCAGAAAAACATTAATTCATGTTCATTCTGTTCATTGCATAAACCGGGAAGCGTTTTCGCACCTCTAGATGGCCAATAACGTTAGTCCTGTTATCTAAGTTCAGCCTACAAACAATTTACACCTAAAATCCTGTCAAATCTCCTGTATCAATTTGTACCCAAAACTCCGATTTATGTTATGAATTGGATTGCGCGAAAACTTTGAAATTGTTGCAACCCAAAGTTGTTATCTCCAAAGTGCGCGCGACCGACTCCCCAGTACATAATATGTACAGTGTACAATGTTTTCATTCTTCACATCATGTGCATTGGCCATTGTGCAACTGATTTTGTTCTGAAATCGGACTAACTACTGCCGTGCTCGTTTCGATCCAAGACCCGACATTTGAGCTTGTTTAGATACACATTATTTAATCGTATAATTTCGTTATGTCACAAATTAGCTGAAATTTTCCACCTACCTTGTTTACATCAATCATGACTCAGGAATCAGGATGTCTTTTAGTGTGTTCATTGTTATTAACCAGTGTTACTGATAACTGAATTTATAAAATGTTTGATTTCTTAATTTATTACTTTAATAAGAAGGGACATGGATACTTCGGTGGAAGCAAGCGATGTCTCTCTATCTGATTTTTCTGAAAGCAGGAAAGGTTAGTTACCCGCATTCATGTTCTGCAAAATCGAACTTTAAACACCTTAAAGGCTTAAAGGAATAATATTAATATAATGTTCATATTGAGCGATTTTAGTACTAAGAGGTTAGATCTAAAAGACAAAGTAGCACTCAAACTGAATGATATATGTGTAAATAGTTCACTCCTTCGTTTGTTTGCATACTTTAAAGAACGTAACTATGTTTCAGGGACGAAAAAAAGAAAGCGGAAAATAGCACCCCTAAAATTTGAGGAGGATCCACTAGACGCTACATTTTACAGTCCTGACCGCCCCCGAGCAGTTCCTAATCCAATTGGTGCGCCGGCTGTTGAAGTTCTGGGACAAACTAACTCCTGGGTAATATAGTATAGTAAACTAGGCTCTCCTTCACTTCAAACACTGGGGGGGGGGGGGGGGGGGGGGCTCTCTCTTTCACTTTAAACTAGAGGGGGCTCTCATTCACTTTAAACTAGGGGGGGGGGGGGGGGGGGGGGGGGCTCTCCTACACTTTAAACTAGGGGGGAGGCCGGGGGCTCTCCTTCGCTTTAAACTAGGGGGGGGGGGGGGGGGGGGGGGGGGGCTCTCCTTCACTTTAAGGGGGCCGGGGGGGGGGGGGTCTTCATCAAAATTCTCTCGAAATTGACTTTATAGTTGTTTCTGATAGAGAGGAGTGATATCTATCAGCTGTTTTTGAATTTTGAGATAGGCCTTAGAACATTTTTTATTCGATTTTGAAAATCTTGGACCTGAAAAAATCGTCAAAAAACGAGGTCCAAGATTTTCAAAATCGAATAAAAAATGTTCTAAGGCCTATCTCAAAATTCTGGCCCGACAATCTCTTCTAAATGGTCCTTAGAACATATCCTGAAATTTTCAGGGTGATTGCTCAAACAATGTAGGAGAAGATAGATTTTAAGACTCGATTTTCAGGGCGCGCGATTCAAAATCAATATTTTTCCATGGGACCAAAAACAGCTGATAGATATCACTCCCCTCTATCGGAAACAACTATAAAGTCAATTTCGAGAGAATTTTGCTGAATACCCCCCCGGCCCCCTTAAACTGGGGGGGGGGGGGGGGGGGGGGGGGGGGGGGCTCTCCTTCACTTTAAACTAGGGGGGGGGGGGGGGGGGGCTCTCCTTCACTTTAAACTAGGCTCTGCTTTTAAGATGACGTCAGCATTTACCTAAGAATAATCTAATTATTACACCGTCACATGATTTTATCTTAGTATTCTTTACTTTTCCCGTCTTATCAACTGACTGATTTCAGATTTTACTAGACGAGTTTGGACGACCAAGTGCATCCCGACAGTTGCCTCGGAGACGGCCTCCATCATCACGTGGTCGTGATGACGTCATAACATGCAGCAGATCAGACTGCGCGCATCCCTTGCACGTGCATAGTAGAGTCGTGGCTAAGATACCCATCAATATCAGTGATAATGATTCAGACTTATTAATTTCCATTGATGATGATCAATCCAATATGGTTACTTTTCATACAAATTCGCCCTCTAGTTACTCGTTAATCGAGAGAAAAACTGAAATTTTAAACACTTCTACCTTGAAGGACTCAGATAGTGGCATTGGTAAAACTCAGAAAAGAGATTCCATTTCTGGGATGTCTCCAGATCATCAAGCAATCGAACTTTTGAATAACGCTACTGAGGATATGATAGGTTGTACAACTCCTGTCATCAAATCACCGGACCCAGATAAAATTATTCAGAACTTAGAAACAAGTTATTCATTAACCCCCATTTTAAATTCACCTTCATTTCAAAAGGTCGGCTTCTCTCAATGCAAACCCGGCAAGACTGTGAAAAGGACTCGACAAATAGAGGTCACGGAATCCTGTCCTGACCCGGTCTATGCGGAAAAGGAAAACCTGCGGAGACGTGTTGTTTTTGAGAGTCCCCGGACACCTATGAGGGTTGGATTAGTTAATAAACTCCCGGTGAATGCTATGGAAACGCCTGAAAATAAACCGGGAGAAATTCTCGTGGAGGACACTCCAGAACACTTAGTTGGCCTGAGGATGGTTACTCGTAGACTTCGGAGAGTTTTAAAACAAACTGTTCCTGATTCTTTGAACTTTTAGATTTTCAAAGATATATGTGTATTTTGCCTTGTTAAATTATTTTATGGAAATCTTAAGTTTTATTTACGGTTTTAGCTCTATCTATTACAGTGATGATACTCATATTACCTCAACAGTAATCATATATTTCGTAATTCATAATAAGTTCGCGGAGAAAAACTATTCCACTCCTTTTTGAATAAAAAATATTAAATCAATATTTTTGCTTAGACAAACTAAATATAATTCTGCTATTTTAAGACTATAACTAACTTGATGAAATGTACAAAAATAACTATTGATCGTATGAGACCATCCGGGAAATTATAATCTTATCAGAGATAGTTTTTGATCAACGTCTGATTTTCTGCTATGAATATAATATGTACGTCTTTTAAATATAAATATTTAAATTTAAAAACATAAATTGCAAGGCAGCTAAAACTATTAAGACTAAGTTAAACCAAATCATCGGTCTTAAAAAAAGGTCAACACTCTAAAACAAAATTGAAAATGAGCCATATTCATAAACCACTTCGCCTTCAAGAATTTAAGTGGTCCATGGAAGTCTGAGTATCGTATCTAGTCCTCTCCAGTGAGACAGAGATTCAGAAGCTGTGTTCTCTGACCATGATCCTCTGAACTCCATCTCCTTTGTGTGGTGACGTGTTGCTCTTCCCAAATCTGGTGGGAGTGGACAGGTTGCTAACTTTGTGGTTGACAGTGGAGGGACTCGGTGAGGGGGTCACTCTGTTCGGACTGCCTCCTTTAAAACTATCCTTGTGTTTGACAATGTAGCAGTTGATGACCAGGATTATGAAGAGAAGCAGCGCTGCGGCTATGCTCCCAACTATTATTTGCAGAGTACTCCGATCCTCCACTAGCTGAAAATGAGATGGTTAAAAGGTTTGCTACTGTGTCGAGACTCTAGACTGTGTCTGATAGATTTCTGATTGTGTATCGTGTGCCACGACTGACATGAAGACAGTAATAGTGTAAGTTTCAATGCTAGGAAAACAAAAGTGGGTGGCTTAAGTACCCACTGAGTTTAAAAATACCTTGGACTCTCTTAATGTGGGATTACCTAAATATGGCCAGGAGGTCTCTGATCAGTTGTATAGTTTCCTCAACAGCAAGAAACAGCTCGCCAAAACTGGATGCTATTTCGTTCAAAAAGCGAGCAAACTCATCAAAGAGCATGACTAGCAGGCCCAAACTGAGTTCAGTACTACATAAGTATAAGTGGAATTGGCAGGTGCACTCTCTCTCCGTCCTAGATTCGAGTCCACTTGTTGGTCATGTGATCAACCAGGAGTGCTAGATGTAATAATGATTGTGTCTTGTATAATATGCTGTAATTATACAGGTTGCTCAATGCTCTGCTTCTCTTTGGTACCGCATATTGTAAGTACATGATCGTCACAGTTCATAACTGTTATACATCATTACCGGTGTATTTATTATGTAGCAATTGCCATTTTACACGAATCTGGCTTCATTGGACTTATGCCAACAACTAAATTTGATAAAAGTAGGGGTGAATAATTAAGATCTGCAATTGTGGGGACATGGCTATGTGGATTTAATAAGCGACCCTATTTCCAGACAAATAAGTGAGCCTGCAGCAGGAACCCGTCTAACCCTAAAGTGGTGTCAAGACTCAAGAGACTTAAATAATTATTACCTATTTAATTCGCGTTTTTGACACCACTTGGGGGTCCAAATTTTGGGCTCTAAAACTCCTATTTCTTGGCCAATTTTTTATTTTTTCATGCTGATTTGAAGGCCATTAAAGCATTTGACCCAGTCAAAAAAGTTTCAGTTGTATATCTTTTACGGTTTTTGCGGAAAGTCGTGTTAAAGTTGATGCCGTGGTGTCAGTAAAATGGCACGGATAAATAAATATATATATATATCGTCTCGCTTTATATATAGTAAGATGTCGCAATTTATGGCGTGACTCCTATTAATAATCTGGTCTCGCGAAATTATTGAATCATTATATATGAACTGCACTAGTGCACTGGAGTACATACTGAATTGGTTGGCACGATATCTCTCCCTCACCCTACATGATTTTCCGGTCCGTAATCATGTAGGGATAGCCCTTGGAAACCTCTCTCTAAATTAAAAGTGATCCCGTTACTTTGCTAGTAGAAATCTCTTCAAATCCGGCAGAAAGATAACTAATTTTCCTTGTAATTCAGATTGTCATTTAGAACTCAGGGTGGCCCACGATTAATCGTATACGTGCGGTAAATGTATCGTTATGTTCCCCCGAATATCAGTAAAGATGCAGCTGTTCCAAAAACTAACTGCGGGGTAATGTGCACCCTTAATAAACTTCTCACAACTGACCTTGTAAACAGCAGTAAGACAGCCCGTGTTGTGAACCTCGTTCTCTCCACTGTAGCAGGTATCTGGGAGTGTTGCAGAGTGTAGTTTAGAGTAGTCAGCTGGAGCAACACAACCGCAGCACTCTAGTTTGGTCTGCACTCGGTTGAAGAAGTCCGTGTAGACAGGGTCTGACTCGCTTAGCAGGGCCATACACTCGTAGTGCAGAATGTCTATTAAACTAGGGGGTGGAAATGTGGGTTAGGAATACGAGTATCGCACTTTGTGTGGCCAATTTAGTGCTAAAACTCAACTTTTTATTGAACTGAGACACAATTTATATTATGGTGTTTTAATTAGAGATTTGAGTTAATTTTAAGCCAGATCTGTTATTTCGTTACTTACTTCTGCTTGTTAATGAAGGTGAATAGAGCCACCCCAAACTGCAGTAGGAGCAACAGAATGACTGTGTAACAGTAAGCCTGGGAAACGTTAATGTTAAAAACTTAAAAATAAGTTAACCTGTTTTATTTAATTGCAGATGTGATCAAGCAGAATTAAAGTTTTTACTTTATGATAATAAATTGGTTGATAGTAACTTGTCATGATAAGTTACGAAGTTTTAAGTTGATAAGTTATTTGTTTCAAAGTTGTAATTGTAAAATTTAATTAAACTGTGAATTACTGAACCTGAAGCAGTTGTCTCCGTTTTGAACAAATCCCAAGCACACTGACGAGCGAACAAAGCGTAACCACCGCCCCAAACAGCACCAACAATATCCTCAAATCAAAGAAAACTTCTCTCAACACATCCAGATAAGGATAGGATATTTTATTGTTGAAGTAAAGGTAGATACCTCCAGCTGATAGAGTTAGTCCGAGGAGCAGGAACAGGAGGGACCAGACTAGGATTATAGCTGCCAGCATCTTTCCTGAACTCTGTCTGGGGGGCCTCAGATACATGGACCCTTGGTTCTTGTACATGGCTGCAAGCACAGTGTCTGGGTTAAATTATGTAATACTGTACTGTAGGTTTGTAGTCATGTGCTGTCTCAGTCTGACTAATAGTGCTCCAATATTTCAATAACCATTATCATAATCAATAGCATAATACTGTGCGTTTAATCTGTAAAAGAGTCCAGCTGTTCAATAATGGTGATTAATTGATATGACACGTTTACAGTAATGAAATGAAATAAATAAAGATTAATCATACTCTATAGATAAATTATATTCATGAAGTAGAAGACGACAAAGGCTTCAAATAAAATCCATTCTAGGTAGCACGATCACAAGTCTGTTTTTAATCAATGGTTATATGATTATTGAACGCATGGGACAAGGACAATTATACAATAACCACTGAATTTATGCACATCCTTTGTACCCTAATTTAATAAACAGTACCCTGGAGGCCTGGATTAAAAATATTATGCCTGAGGATCTGGCTAAATCTAGCATTAACGGATCCAACGGCAGCTTCAGATTATTAAGATTAAATCATTATTGAGGCAGTGATTTAATGATTTTGGATTCAATATTATCGATATACAGACCGAAGTGAAGACTCATAATTTAAAGTAAATCCTGAATATTTAGCGCCAGGATTACGAGCTTTAGATTGTCCTCATAATGAAGTGCCAGAATTCAATCTTGATTGACTAGTTCATTATTAAGTGTAAATCAACTTAAGCATGACACGATCAAAAATACTAATTGTTCTAAGCCATGGCAAACAAAGAATCAACTGACTAATTGAGAATTTGCGAGTTTCACTCCAGAGCATCGCAATCTCAATGCCTCTCCATTTTGCAACATTTCCCATATCAAAGATTACAGTTATCAGCGACTGAGCCCAGAAGGCGAAGGAAAGTGGTCAAATTCAATTTTGCTTCGCTTTTTCTATCTTACCTGGGGACCCCAGGCTATTATGTTCATAAATAAAGATTCGGCGGAATAAAGATTCGGCGGAATGACAGGCTGAGCGCCGCCCAGTAATTTCTATCATACCATACCTTATGATCGTACCTCATACCTTATTCAAGTTACTTCAATGTTTACAAATGTTACTACAACAGTTACAATTCTGAATACTAAAAAGCGGAATGAAGTTATACATAAAACATAAAACTGGGGAGAAACTGGAAACAATTATTAAGATAATTTCTCATTCAAATGGTTTAATTCGAGGGTTATTATTACATCTTATAGTTATGGCTCCTGGTTACTCCCACACGTAAACTGCAATCACGCAGGCCCTATTAAGTTGTTTCGTGGGCAATACCCGATTAATATTCGGACCCCAACTAACATTTGCATTGTTAGTCTGAACAAGTATTTCAGACTCGAATACCAGACGTAGCTTGACTATAAGTTATAAACCTACAAATTCCCTCAACTCGTGATTCATGAGACCACGGTGGATGGAGTACGCTCCGGCTGGAGGTCGGACAATGACCACAGTACTCGTTTACAAAGCTCCAGGTCCATGGGCAAAGGGACGGAGGTGAAGATATAATTAGGAGAAAGATGGTTAACTCGCGTTTCCCATCAGTATCACCATGTTAAGTGCCACCTGCGAGTGCAATGAGAGCATAAACCTTCACACAAATATGCGGATGCCTAATGCCTATGATGAATAACCCTAGGCCGTACCTACGAATAAAACTATAATTCGAATCACATTACCATTAGCACTACGGCAAAGAATCGCCGAATTCTACATTCATTAAACATTAAAGTGATAATTTTGAATAAACCAAATCTAAAATAGGATAGTTGTAGAGTTGTAGTTAATTTAAAGCGGCAAAAATCATACTTAGAGCAAACTCGACTATAAATGTTAGCATCAACCCTCAGAACCTAGAAACTAAAATTTACGACGTTAAAAACATTTGGGACCTTTGAGTTTGAGGAATCTTAAAATTAACAACACCTGAAGTTGGACGAATGAGCGGGGCTGGTGACGAACCTTCAGACGTTCCTAATTGATTATTCCGTTACAGAGAGCCTTCGAGGTCGAATCAGATTACATAATATGAAATAAAACAGGGTAATTGGGTGAAATGGTATTATTAATTTCATTAAATGAATACAGTACGAATAAAAAACTGCCGTAAAAATAAAAACTTCAATAACAGTAAAAACTATAATTATAAAAAGTAATATTAAAATGAATATTCAGATTTCAACAAACCTAGGAAAATATTTTTTTATAAAGGCCTACAATAAAAAAGGCCTTTCCAATTCCATGATTCGATTAAGCAAGTAAACGGGTTAAATAATCGGTATTCTTATCCAATTAAGATGTTTTCTTATTTTATATACCAACAATTAAAACTTTACAACCTTTATCTGATTTATAATATAAAGTCACCGATAAACTTAATCTAATTTTGTGGTAACAAATGAACGAAATTTTAACACTCAATTTTAACAAAACATTGTTGGTTCTTTCAAGTTTTACTAAAAGTAAAAACCGATGAATTTCAACGAAACATCTTGGAGAAAGCTATAAATCCCACATCAAAGCCATATAAAATACGACAAGAAACCGAATACTGAAGGAAAATTACAATATCCAAATTCTTGATGCAATAAAAAGTTAAGAATTATCACGTTGTATGATCACAGAGAAATAAACAATTATCAACCTAGACAGAAACATGTCCGGGCAAAAGGCCCGGTGAGCAGACAAAGTTGATGTAAAGTTGAACTAGGGTGAAACTCGAACGCTTAGATAAGGTGTCTTTATCGCCAGATGTCCAAATCGAATTGCTCAACGACACGGGAGTTTCTGGTTACTGCTGACTTATTTCCGGACATAAAACGTTTGACGCTATCAGTTATGACCCGGAATAGAAGGTGAAGAACAGGTGGCCAAACCCTACAATACTTAATAACATTGCCGGCCACGAGAAATGGGCGTGGTTTTTAAAAATCTGAAAAGTTTGAACATGATACGATAAACAACACTGCATTAGCTAACCACATACAAGTTTTACACCTTGTTACAAAATATTTTGAAAGGTGCAGACTGCAGTCGTTTGTACCCTCAAACATTCAAAATTAGATTAAAATTTGTGCCAGTCTTCATGGCACTATATAAACTATAAGTCTTTGATCACAAAACAAAATAAATCAACAGTCGTCGAAGTTATTATGAATAAAAATTTAAAAATGGCAGGGGCGTCTTAAAAAACTGTTATAAAATTTCTATGGGCTGGCTTTTTTTGCACTAAGAGTAAACCGTTTCGTCCAGAACAATCCACATAACCAGTCTTCCTATTAGCCCTTTCAATTTCAAATGTTTAGCCTCGTCGATTGACCACAAAGCTTAATGTTCTCATTTCTAAACAATATTAGTGGAGATCGTTCAGAAATCAAGTGGCTTCTCCACGAGTTAAGCCTCGTTTATCGTCAATGCAGATTGCAGAAATGCAGAGCTCCCGCCTCGCAAGGCCCCTGTCAAATCGAGCTCGGGAGTAAAAATCGGAACTCCACATTTTCGGACAGTGAGCTTTTTGTCCTCTGGAGGACTGTCGCCGCGATTGTAATGACTTTGAGAACTGAATCTTTGGGAGCTCTCTAGTGATCACATGCCACCGTTAGATTCTGGGGAAAGAGGTTGTCAGGGTGATGTGACCTGAAGTATCGCTGATTATGGCGGCCGAGATTTATGATGATTGTATTGAGTTGTGAAATAACGGAGGTGCGAAAATTAGGTCGCGAGACACCGATTAAGTGAATATGATTAAGGTTAGACAACTCATACGAGAATTAAATAAGTGCCTGGGCTAATGAAATAATTTGATGACGCAGTGATTTTAATTCCGACTGTCGAGGTACAAGGAAGCTGCGTAGCTTCGATCAACTCAACATTCCAATCTAGAATATTTACTTTCCTCCGCGTTAAATTTAAAAATTACTTAAATCAATCAAATAATGAGACGGAAGATCGGGGGAAGAGAAGGTGAGATTTAGTTGGTTTACTTACTAATAAGTATAACGGGTTCTTACTGGTCAGGATCAGGAGTCAGAGTATGAAGTAGGTTAACAGGACTTTGCCACAAACACACTCCTCTCCGGAGACATGTTCACTCCTCCCCGGAGACATGTTCACTCCTCCCGGAGACATGTTCACTCCTCCCCGGAGACATGTTCACTCCTCCCCGGAGACATGTTCACTCCTCCCCGGAGACATGTTCACTCCTCCCTGGAGACATGTTCACTCCTCCCTGGAGACATGTTCACTCCTTCCCGGAGACATGTTCACTCCTCTCCGGAGACATGTTCACTCCTCCCCGGAGACATGTTCACTCCTCCCCGGAGACATGTTCACTCCTTCCCGGAGACATGTTCACTCCTTCCCGGAGACATGTTCACTCCTTCCCGGAGACATGTTCACTCCTTCCCGGAGACATGTTCACTCCTTCCCGGAGACATGTTCACTCAGGACAAGCTTAAACTTCTTTTCTGTTTCTGACATGGTCGGTATTCTCTGTGGAATGGGTTGAACATTTTTGAGTAACAGGAATGATTTATAATGCATCATATTTATCGCTAAGCTTGAAAAATTATGCAATCTATAATTTCAGCCACAATCTTATATAGCTTAAAAACCTTGAATCTCTTTGGATAGCAAACCGAAACAATTTTTGCTCTGCTTCAATCATTTTTCGCTGACGAATGACGATGGGAATTCCTCGACCGAAGTGCGAAGGCAAACAGGGATTTAGACTTTCTTTTATCTGAAACAGTTTTAACACAATCAGTTCACATTGCCCCAAACAAATTATTGACTTTTTTAGCTCTTATATTTCAAAGTAAAGGCACAGAGTCGTTAGTCCTTCAAGCGTATCACGAGATGTTAAACTTTAGCAGGTTCTGAAAAGTTTCCATGCGTGCAAATAACACTTACAATCTGATTGCGAGGTAACTCGGTAATCTGCCCCAGGTGGTTCTGCCCGAGGTGTGCCCGAGATGTGCCCAGGTTCTTTTCCCAAGGTTTCCCAATTACCAGAATTTTGCCCGAGATGTGCCCGAGATGTGCCCCAGGTGTGCCCCAGGTGGTTCTGCCCAAGGTGTGCTTTGTGCCCCAGATGTACCCGAGTTTGTGCCCCAGGTGTGCCCGAGGTGTGCCCCAGATGTGCATCGGCAGATTACCGAGTTACCGATTGCGAATGCTTATAGCCGAGTTTATAATATGTATGTATACATAAACTATAACAACTTAGCGGTATGATGAGAATTGAGAAACATAAATACGTGCTGAGATTAATCATGTTTATAAATCATCTTAGAGTAATACTAATAACGGCAGGTAAAATCTTTTTATTTTTTTGAATTAATATAATATTTTAAACATCAGTACAACTACACAACAGATACAATAATATACGGGATGAATTGAACCCAAGAATTTAAAAAATGGAAATTGAAGAGAAAACGACATTAAAAAGCCAAAATACGTATAAGTCAATCAATATCAACTCTAATATTATTAAAAACTATCAAATTATAAAAATGTTAATAGACATTCGTCATTCATTCTTATGAAATACTTTAAATCTGTAGTGAATCTAGTGCTAAGATGAGAAGTACGGACTAGTCGTACTTTTCAATTCGAAAAACTTGAAGTTTCAAAATATTGCGTCCAATATTCCATATTACGAAAAAGTTCAAGTCTTGATCACCTATATCAATATTATATGGTTTCATGGCCTAATTCATGGGACAGGAGGAGTACCTATGAAGCAAATTAAATATTCTGAAACAGAAACCGCAATCCTAGAATCTGCTCCCTCTGAGCAAATATGTGGGATCTCCAGTGGTCTGGACAGTCTAAGAAAACTCCATGCCCTATACATTCTACCCAGTCATCTTAGGAGGATCTTTTAATTGTTCCCGTGATTGTCAACTTGAGTCATCAAGATTCTAGTGTAATTTAATCTGAAGATTAACCATCTATCAGTATCCTCCAATCTAAGTGTCCGTGTCAGACGTGAGTCCAGGAATGTTAACTCTCCTTCGTTTAGACTCGTTAAGTCGGGGAGATGTTCTGATAGGAGTACCACTCCTTGTTGTACTGGTACTACCAGGGTCTCGGGTACCACTTCCACTCTCACTGGATCTTCGGAGAGTCGCTTCGTCCAGATTTGAGAGCACATCGTCCCAAAGGACACTGTCTGTGATGGGATAGTTTTAAAAAAGACAATTCCGAATGAAGATATTTCAATACATTTCGGGAAAAATAATTTATGAAAATACTATTTATTTTAGGAGTTACTGACCTTCCATTTGACTGAAATCTGCAAATGAATCTTGAGAAAGAATATTAGAAAGTTCTTCTTTATCAAACTGATTCACTGAGCTCGTATCCCTTTTATCTCCATTATTTGTTTCAACTCGAGACGATGGTTTTCCTGAAGAACTGGAAGCAGTGACTCCAGTTTTTATCTCCCTTTCAGCATTACCACCAAGCCGCAAAGGAGTGGACGTATTATCTGTAATGAATACACATGAATTAAATTCTTTAAAACGTTTTAAAACTAAGTTTCGGTTTTTTCAAATATTTCTACGTATCACAGACATGCCCTGAAACAACAACGGAAAAAGGTGAAAAAGATGCCTTGAGAGTTCAGAAAACTATTAATCGTAACATTAGATAAGGACAACTTACTAACAACACTTCCACCAGAGCTGGCTGCATTGTCCGCTAACAAACCACTCACGGGTTTCTCCACTGAGATCAGACTCACAGACTGTCTTCTCGAGTTAGGTAACACTGCCATGTTAGTGTCAGCTACAGAGATGCTGGCATAGTTCTCGGGTGGTTTCTTGGCGGTTTTGGAGAGATACCTCATGTAGTCTTTATCGTTCAAACAGTTCCCCATTAAGTTTCCAAAACTCTTCATCGCTCGTTTTAGCCCGTCTGTGATTGACTCTTTTCTCGCCTTCTCCACTGCTTGGGATTTCGATCTGGGAGAAATAGATAACTGTGTTAACTTTTAGTGCAGGTTCGGTTTTCTTCTCGGTTCGCTTGCACGGCTCCAAATTTACAATTAAAATGTATACGAACATTGAACCGCGCTAGCGAACCGAACCTGTACAAATATTTATGCAGGTTCGGTTTTCTCTAAGAACACCCTGCGTTAAACGGGAATTTATAACGCAATAATGCTCTCTCACTCTGAGGGCCGCGCATGATAACACCCGAACGTAGTGAGGGGGTTTGCGCGGCCTGATAGAGTGAGAGAGTATTATCAGTTATAATGCCCGACTGTTCCGATTGGAAGGGTGTAATGTGATACGTGCGCATGATACAATATAGTGTCTAATATATAGAACGCCAGTGTTATTTGTTTTGAAACTAATTAACTGTGGAGCCGGAAACGTATTACGAGAAATGAAAGTGGTCTCTCGCTGTTCCTATACCTGTTTTGATAATGCTCCCTGAGAAAAATTTAGCGTTATCACTTTTCACCCTCATGACACATTATCACATTATATAACGTCCCTGAGGGCATTATAACGCAATAATGCTCTCGCGCTCTGAGGGCCGCGCATGATAACACCCGAACGTAGTGAGGGGGTTTGCGTGGCCTGATAGAGTGAGAGAGTATTATCAGTTATAATGCCCGACTGTCCGATTGGAAGGGGTGTAATGTGATACGTGCGCATGATACAATATAGTGTCTAATATATACAACGCCAGTGTTATTTGTTTTGAAACTAATTAACTGTGGAGCCGGAAACGTATTACGAGAAATGAAAGTGGCCTCTCGCTGTTCCTATACCTGTTTTGATAATGCTCCCTGAGAAAAATTTAGCGTTATCACTTTTCTCCCTCATGACACATTATCACATATAACGTCCCTGAGGGCATTATAAGCAGCTAGTTGTCTTACCAAGGCAGTATATGGCTTTGAGCACAGCTGCTATCAGTATTCAGGTAACATGTTGTGTAACGGTACTTGTCTAATGTGTGGAATAGCTACAGTAAATTTGAATACTGATAATAATAATATATACCAAGAATTACTAAGATTTACAAATAATGACTGATAAGCATTTTATCTTCTCAAATTTAACAATTGAAAGATCAATTTGTAGCATTTTTGTCCATTACAGTTTGTTTTAACAGTAACACTTTTAATGGTTGTCTCAAATCTAAGACTAATAGCTACAGATAAGTAAATTTTAATACTGATAATAGAATTACTAAGAGTTATTGATGATGACTCCTGGAAATTTGCGATAAGCGCGTTGAAAGATCAATTGTAGCATTTTTTTCCTATTACAGTTTGTTTTAACAGTATGAGTAACATTTTCAATGGTTGTCTCAAATCCGTGACTAAACGATTTTCGTCCGTATTGATGTTAATGGTATACAATTTTTACTGAGTTTTCGAAGTTCCGAATGGTGAATCCGAATTTAGCTTAGTGTAGTGTATCAGTAATGATTCAGTATGTGTGTTTGTCTAATATATCCGAATTCAACTTTATGGAGGAAGCGAAATGGACGGTTCAAGCCCCATCTTTTATTGTATCATGAAAACGGTCTTTTATTTTCAAAGCAGGACTTAGGCATACCGCTAGTTTTTGACTTTTGTAGTACAAAGTGAATTCAGAGATTTAGGCATGATCCAAACGCATTCATATTGAAATTGGCTTTTACTTTGGATGATGTTGTCTGGAAGGCCTCGTTTGTAATGCCCCTCTAATTAGGAAACACTGAGTAGTATGATACATGTGAAGTGGGAGAATTTTTTAACATAAGATATTTTACAGTGACAAGATGGCAGATACTCTTGATACAAAGCGAGCTTTCCGGGTCTTCGGTGAGGTAAAAACCAATATTATCGAAATACGCTTAGTATAAATTTTCACAAATTATGCTCAATTTTTCTCTCAGTGTCAAAGTTACAAACCCTGAAAACGTAGTTCAAAAAAGTGTTCAAATTTCAACCATAGAAAATATCGTAAGATTAAAAGCGTTTCCCTCCAGCGGAAAACCCACCAAAACAAGAGGCAAACTCAGAAAGTGAATAGTTTGGTAGATGGCAAGCCTCACACAGACCAAGCCAAACCACGTGACAAGGTCAAAGAGGATACCGAAGCGATGGAGTGGGAAGCAACAGAACCAGACTTCGACGACAATGATGATCCTGATATGTGTGGGGAGTATTGCAAGGTGATCTTCAAGAACGAGTGTTTAAAGGAACATAAGTGGGTTATGGCTGCAAGGTAATTATGTGTGAGTTTTAACTCACAATTGAGGTTTACAGTGAGATTATTGATGACAAGAATATTTCAGTTTGCTCACAGAAATATCAAATGTAGCCTAACAAGTCCATATGCCAGGTTGTCAGATAATAAAATATCCAAGCTAAGAGTTGGTTGTGTGGACTGGCTAACAGAAGTGTGTTTCACTTGGAAACTAGCAACAGACACCCTCTTTACTGCTGTTCTCTATCTAGACAAGGCTCTCAGGAGTGTGAATATTCTCTGGATGACATGCAGCCTCTTGCTGGAACCTGCCTATTTCTCGCTGCCAAGGTTTGCGTACATTCTATTTCTGCCAAGGTTTGCGGAGATTCCGTCAATCAAGATGTCAGTAAAATCAATGTTTGATGTTAACAGATTGATTATTGTATAAACTGATCAGTAAATCCCCGCAGATGGAGGAAGTCCTATCAATACCGATACACGATATCATAGAAATTGTACCCGGAACATCGGTAAACACCATAAAAGCTTATGAAAAAAAGATACTTGAGGCTCTTGATTATGAAGTAAGTTGATTGATGTCAAAAACGAAATTTAATTTGGTTTTATTCCGCAAAAGATAGCTAACTTCGACTTTTCTTCATCTCACTCCTTTAGTCCTTCACTCTCAGCAATATTCCTGATTCAATGCTCAACACCTATCCCCCGCAGATGGTGACCCCTCATCTGATGTTGTTCCTCCGAAGGTACAACAGTGTCAGTGGAACTGATATGGAGACACACAACATATCCAAATATCTCGCCACCCTGGTGGTAAGGTAAGGTTGTTTAGTGTACCGGAGAAACGGATCAACTTATGGTTCTCTGTTTGAAAACATCTCATGTATGTTGTGACTAATTTTAAAGTATACAACATTGCTAACTAGCAATTATCGGTATAAAGGTATAAGCTAGATAACTTTACCCAACTACAGGTTTCAAGGGTTCTGTTCAGGGCCTCAGAGCGTTTTGGCTGCAGCAATCTGTTTTATGGCCAGAAGAATCACGGGTTGCTCAGAAGCTGAGGCTTGGTCGAAAAGACAAACCACTTACTCGTGAGTATTCTCAGTTAAGTTTCACAAACGATAAAAATACAATTTATACTAGGCCGTTTGACGTTTCGTATTAACTTTTTTATCTTGGTCGTTTAATAAATAGACCAAAATTAAAGTGCTCGATGATTTTGATCACTAACCGACTGCTAACATCCACCCAGCGGATACACGCCGGCTGAGATCCAGATGGCGGTGTGTTTTGTAAGTCATGCTCTCTCCAACGCAAACAGGCGGGCAGATGAACAACTCAAAGGCTCAGACAAGGTCATAACCGCTTACAAGCTCTTCAATCAACGCAAATTCCACTTCATCTGGTGAGATATACCATACATTTCCATTGGTCTTTAACGCTAATTAAATGTGATTTTGGCAGTATCCAAGATAGCCAGACCTAGTCTGCGGACTGTTCTGATCACCGTGGGACCCCTAATGATAGGGGCCCTTTAAGTCTGCCTTCCGGAGCACGGACTAAGTCGGGCTTCTTGGATACTGCCTTTAATTATTTAAGTGGGCTACTGAAAGTTTAAAACAAAAACTTGAACCTGGCAATATCCTGATTTTTAAACTTGAATGTACCGTAATAAACATTGAGTGATGTCAATATGTAATGTTCTTGTCAATTTGACTATTTTTCAGTGCTATGCCGTGTTTTCGCCAGAAATTTGTCGAGAAGTATGGTCTACAGAACGTCATCTCGCTAGAAAGCTGCTAAGACTGATTCTAGTAGTGCATTTTGTTAGGTCGGATTACTACAAGTTCGGATTACTACAAGTTCGGACTACTGAAAATCATGTCGTATAGGACTGTTGTCTCTTGAATCAAGGGACGACTATTTAGAGAACTATTTAGAGAACTATTTAGAGAACTATTTAGAGAACTTACAGTTTCTCATACTTTTTATCGTGAAGATAGCAACAAAATTATTTAAGTGAAATCAACTGCCACCATATGACTGACATAGTAGTTGATCATTGGAATTGATACGGACAACTGACGAGAAAAATGTGATTAGTTTATTACTAATTAGGTGTTTACTGTTTAAATATATTTTTATTTATATTTATTCATATAGATTAGTATATTCATATTATCAACTAGGTGCCCCTTGGATTTTGATCCATATGATTTCTTTTATGTGTTAATTGGGATTATCAGTGTTATAAATTATTTATTAATGTATTTATTTACTTTTTATTTGATTTTAAATAAATCACAAATTATACCGTGATCCGTGTTTATGTTAAAGTTATATGTATTTAAATGAAATACATCGTTGATATGATATGAAATTCGATGACATTATACGTTCATTTAATTTAAATGATTATCTATAACTAAACGTACAAATTTGTAGATGTTAAGGACAGCGTGGAAATAAATAAAGTAATAAAGTTTCGCTGTTATTTTGTATGCTTGATTAATTTGACAACTTATCTTTTTGATATTATAGTTTAAATTGTGTCCAGTTAACACTGTTCAGTGTTCATGAAATAAAAAGCTCAATCTATCAAATTTACCCAATCTATTCCTCGAAATGAAACTTGGAGTAAAATAATCAAAAAATCTTAATTTTTACTTCATTCCAACGACACAGCCATACAGATACATATATCGTCTCACTTTATATCTAGTAAGATATATTTAGTAACATAAGCCAGTTTACTGACACCACGGTATCAATTTTAACACGACTTTCCGCGAAAACCGAGAGATTGTCAACAATAAAGACAAAGTGACATCTAACTTAAATTATCTTAATAATACCTGCTCAGCTAAGTCAGTATATTCGTTTGATTTTAAGAAACTTTACACCAACCTTCCCCATGATAAACTTATTGAGAAGTTATCATCTTTGATTAAATTATGTTTTGAGGAAAAGAAACTTGATTTTTATCAAAATCAACGACCAGTTTCGGGCAAGATGGTCGGGAGTTAATAAGACTAAGTGGTCTTTTACATGTAGTGACCTGATAGATATGTTTAAATTCTTAATGGATAATATTTATGTTAAGTTTCGAGGTGTGATCTACAGACAGGTAATTGGTATCCCAATGGGATGTGATTGTGCCTCTCAGGTCGCTGACCTATTTCTATACTGGTACGAGCATGATTACATTACATTGCAAGTTAAAAACAAGAACCCTGTGGTTCACACTTTGAAACATGCTAGTCGATATATTGATGATTTAACTACCCCTAATATCAGTCATAAGACTGTCGATATAATTTGCAAGGATATTTACCCAGTAGAGTTGAAGATTGTAGTCACAAACTCTAGCATTTTATCTACGACTTTTCTTGATTTAGACATTTATATTACGAACAGTCGTTTCTACACTAAATTATATGACAAGCGACGTGATTTCAGTTTTAAAGTCGTCACTTTTCCTAACCTTAAATCCAACGTACCTGTGAAACCTTCATATGGAATATTTGTAGGTGAACTATATAGGATATGCAAATCCTCCTCAGTAGTGAATGAATTTATTCATGATGTTAAATTATTAATCGATAAACTGATCACCCAGAATTTTGAACGGAAAATCTTACATAGACATCTTAAATTATTTATTAACAGTCAACCAGCGTGCATCTTTAAACACTGGCACAATTTCACAGTAAATGACTTCATGTAATTATATTGTGTGTGAGGCCAAACCTTGTAATTCCTTATGCATGTTACCTCGTCCGTGATCTATTCACTTCCCCCTTTGATCGTTTTGGAACAGTTTTATATCACGTTAACGATTCTTTGGCAGTTTATTATTTAGCTTTCTAGCAGTATATATTTTGTTTTCTATATTCTTTCAGACTTTTACTTAAGTCTAGTTATACATTACTTTATCATATTTTATCGAACTAAGGTGTAGTATTGCCAGATCCCAGTTCATTTTGTAACGGAGTTTTATATTAACAGGAAACGATGTAACAGAGTCGATATATTTTAATGTTGCCATGGGGTGGCAAGTCCCCATACATCGTGGTCCGGTAGTTTCATTGCGTCTTAATATACCATCGAAACCATTTTGGCTGGGTCGAATTAATTATGGTCTTTAGACCAGTATGAAGAAATTTAAAATTTGCCAAGGAATAAGAACTTTAGGTCCCGAAATTTAGACCCCCAAGTGATATGACGTCAAACTCATAAAATAAATACACATTGTTCTCTCTTGACACCGTGTTAAGTTAAGAAGGGTTCCTGTTAGTAGTGTTAAAACTGCAAACCCAGCATTCAACAACAAAAAGACATTATTTCTTGACATTCGTCTAAATATTTTTTTTATCAAGACACTTATTTTACTTCGGTGTATTCCAACAGCCACATTGTTACACAAGTGCAACCAGCCAATTACAGGAAGCCGAAGGATTTATTTGGCCAGTGACGGTTAAGGTAGTGTGTACCATACTTTCTTCGCCCGAGACTTTGCTGCAATGTGCAGTGTGCAGCTCCTCATTTAACCCTCACACCCAATTTCTCGAGTATTCGGCTGAGTAGACCGGGGGGCTGCATAGACCACTCAGGATCCTTAGCTGAACGTCAACGACGCTCACCCCACGACCAGGCAGACAGTGGGAGACGAACTCGAAACCTCACGATTTGCAAAGATGGCGTTCTAACCAACTGCGCTACCTGGCCGTATATCAATTATGATATACATGATTCGTTTTTGGACAAAAATTTCATCCAATCTGTCAAATTTGTGTTCAGAAATTTTCATATTTGAAAATGGGACAGAAATTGTAAAATACGAATTTTCGTTTTGTTCAGCTTTCTGCTGTAAGCTTTCTCAGAACGAAATCAAACTTCCAACACAGTCAAAACTGTAAAATTGCGGTCCTAAACATTTCATCTTCAAAAACTGAAAATGGGACAGACTATGGGACAATATGATTTTGCAATTTTCGTCGGAATTTTGACTTCCGGAGGACAGGAGCAAGAATCTGATAGTGTTTGGGCTGAGTGAAAAGGATGAAAAAAACAGCTTCCAGCTCTGGTAACCGCAGTATTGGAGGAGATCGGGGAGAAACCTCATTTCGAAGCGACAATTAAAGTCGTACCTCGATTTGGATTCATACCATCATCAAACTATCAATTAACTGACTATGTACTTAGTATTACTCAATCTTAGTTTATCATTATTTCATAAAGTCGATATTGATTAAGTAAATCTCAACGAGCTACTGATTAAAACTGGGGAAGTTATAGGAGTAGCTACGTCAATAGTGGGCAGAAAGATGGTTTCATGATTTGTGCAAATGCTCTCCAACTAGTGACGTCACAACCTTATTAAACGAAGCCCTATTTAAAAGTCCGACCGTAGATATGCAACGAAGCAATATATTAATACATCATGATTAAAGCGAGGAAAAGAGGTGGTACACCATTTTAGATATGACGCTGCACAGAACCATTTTAAAGATCTATAAGCGTATGCGAAATAATCTAAATCCCAGGAAGTTTAACCTAGCGACACAAGCTAATTATAACGCCTACTCGCTATTTAAAGGAGAGGGTGCGGATCATTCCCACGAGAGGGAGAGCGTGAGTTGCTGAATTCAAAAGTGGTTTATATGAAGCTTTGAAGGGGTAATGATTGCTGTGACGCACGTAGAACCCTTTATAGAATCAGTTATATAGGCATGCCTAAGTCGTTTAATCTCGTATATGCTCCCCAGTAGTGTTCGATTTCGTGACCTTTTTTAGTAAAAATTTGCTTCTTCGTTTTTTGTGTAATTTGTTCTATTTCAAGTATATTTGTTATAATATTAATCTACTAAATGTGTAATTCAATGGCATGGGCAGGGGTTACCAAAAAGTTATAATGAGTGTTTCACATTTTTCAAGTTACCATAGTGACTAAAATATTATTATATCTTTGCCTTTTGATCGGTTTATGATACATATTATGTGAATTCATTTTCTGTGATGTGTTTAAGATGAACAAGATCTTAGACCAAAGTAGAGGAAACCTGTTCTTCATGAAATAAAAGGATGTCAATCTAAAAATGTAAAACCCGAGGCTTAATTGGGGTTCAAAGAGGGTCTTGGAACAACTTCTCACATTGTGAAAGCTTATCCTGTTTCCATATCTGTTTGGTTTCATAGTCCACAGATCATATTTACCAGTAAAAACTATCTTCGTCCCTGAACACTGTCTCTTTTATCGTGACCCAGCGCCATCTTTATCTTTTTAAAGCTTTGTCCATTTATATTTGGCTTGAGCATGAGGATTTTAGTTGTTGGTTCCTAATTTAATCTTTCAATATAACTTATTATAAGACAAAACAATTGTTGAATCAGGAAACAAAAGGGTTGTATAATAACAAACACGTTTAAGCAGTATTTCTGATCCATCTACTTGTAAATTGATATACGTTTTTTTGCAAATTTGTGCACTCAGCTAAGAAGGCATATTTTTAAAGATTTGGAGATTACCGTCCACGATGATGAAAGGGTAGACTTTAGAATTGGTGGGATATAGCCCTGAACTGAGTATTTAAAAAGACAACATAAGGGTACAGTAAATAAGGGGCGAAAAGTTGGTGTTTGAATATAAGACCGTCGATCAGATGTAAACCTTAACGAGGACCCGACATGAGCTTTAAGATTTTTCGTTTAATCTATTCTTGACCTAGTATCAAAATCAAACCATAATTCTCTTGATTATAAACTATGCTCCATACGCATAGAGTATTAAATTACTCGAAACTGCGTAGAAGCAGTTAAGAGGTGTAATGATATTAATGGTTCATCTAATGGATTCCATAAGGATCTAATCAAATGATGCGTTTTGTGACTGGAGGCCGCCCACACAAGCAATTAAACAGTTAAGCATAAACGATCTGCAAGTTGCGTAAAACCTCCTTATAAAGGGTATAAGTAGCAATTGCAGAGGCAAGGGAGTAAATGGTGACCCACATCCATAATAGGTAACAAAAACAATGGTCAATCTGTATCAGCTTCCTTAAATAAACGCGGGTCCACTAATACAAGGAGCCATTTCCAGTTTTCATTCTCAGCTTTGTTTTGACTTTTCAGTGGAAACTATTTCGGTGAGTTACTCAACACTTCATTTCATTTTCATATACAATGCAGCCGGTCAAGTTTAAGGGAGTTGCCATTTGACAACTGCACCATCATAATATAGGTTAAGCTCGTACGTCACGAATTTAACTCTGCTGCTGCTCATGCTGCTATACCCTCTTTATAATCATATCTACATTGACCGGAAATTTGAAACTTACAGAAGCGCAACAGAATATTATGTCATTTTTGTTCAACGATATACATCTTCAATATCAGTCTGAGTACTGAATAAAAATATAACCGAACGAATTTATGGTGATTTTGAGAAAAGAAATAACCTCGCGGATATCCATAAATTAATAAAATTATCCCAAGTTCGCTCCTTTTGAGGCCAAATCGGTGAATAGAATTTGA